ATGGATATTTATGACATTAATACTGTATAATACTGCAATAAAAGGCATTTTTGAGTTCTCACTACTTCTCGGTGAAGGACTTTATATCGCAGTGAAGAATTTGCCTACAGTCAGCAAAAATGTGCCAAAACACCCAGAAGCTGGCTGGAGTCCAGAGAGTTCAGCCTGAGCAGGAGGTGGGTCGCACTCCCTCCTACCTGCTGGAGGTTTCTTATCATCTCCTCAGTCACGCCTCCTTCGCGGTTGGGGACCTGAGTGGAGCTGGTCTGGGCCGCATGCAGAGCCGCCTGCCTCTCCATCAGCCGACTGCTCTCCCTCTCCAGGAAGACTTTGGTCTTCTGGATGGAGGCGCCGTGAGAGGAGATGTAGCGCCGGAACCTGGACACAGAGACGTGGGGATAGTAACTACAGCTAGATACACACTGTGCTCCTGCATTCACACCCAAATCTGCATGACTTGAACAACCAGAAATGTCATTTTTAAATGAAAAGAAGAAAAAAACACTATTAGATGTGTTGAGTGATGTAAGGTTACCCTCATTTGAAGCTTCAACTAGTCCCTGCTATGCACCAAACTGTCCCCTGTCACACTGGTGTATTCATCATATATATACACAGCAATTTTCTGTTGTAGCTAACCAGATTTTAATTTGAACCACTCCTGCTGGTATTTTTAGATGCATGGTTCCTAAGCTATGAGTCACATCTCCTCCAAAAGGTCACAAAATAAATCTAAAGGACCTGTGATATAATTCATGGGAGAGAAAAGATAAAAAATAAATAAATTCTGCCAAATAAGTTTGTACTGTCAGGTGCAATTGGAGCTCAGTTTTGGGATACTGTGTGTGCTTGTCTGTCCATACGAGCCTGTCCATATGCTGAAACAAAAATACCTTCTCCAGACTTCATTAACGCTGCCATGCAACTGCCTCAGAGATGCATGAGTTAGAACTAAAAGCCAGAGAGCAGGACTGTAAATGAACATCCGTTGTGCTCAAGTCCTTATCCAACGAGCAAAAACAATGAAGCCTCTACGTTTTGCAGCATAGCAGAACTTTAAATCTGTTTTCTGAGGCAACATTCCTGCTCTGGTGCACCGACAGCAGATGCTTTTTACAGCAGCGACTGGTTTGCCAGAGCTGAAGGAAAGAAAAATTGTGGTAAAGGAGAGGAAGCAGGCAACAGCAACTGAGAGGACAGTGGGGTCAGTGGTGGGAAAGTCTATGAAGCCACAAAGAAAGGATGTCCCAGATCAAAAACAACTGACTGCAGGATCAAAACGACTGGCCAGGCACAAGCCACAAGCACGCATAGACACTATTTGTGTAATTACACTCACAAATGTTCACACTGCAGGATTAATTGCTGCTGCTTCTTCCATGTACTGTTCATACTAAAGTGATTTTGTTTGACGTGTAAATAGCGAAAACGATCACTTAAACATTAAAAACAACATTAAATCTAATATTCCTCCATTAATCACACCAACAAACACGCTGACATGTATGTAATGAGTATTCCTTTCCTGCCTCTACACACAGCCATTAATCCACCGCAAACGACCAGATAATCCACTGAAAAGGAAATAACATTAGAAAATCTGTATAACCATCGTTTTAGAATTATATGCTGCTCTGGAAAAAATGTGGCATCAATCACGTCCTGGTGAGACCAAACCATTACCAAGACATCCGTCCAGTACACGCTGTGTTCATGTCTGTCCTGTACTTAATGCTGCTGTGCGTTTATGACCACGTGTGTTTTTCTCTGTTGTCTCTCCTTACTCGTCCACGCTGCTGTGGCTGTCCGGTAGAGGGGAGACAGGCGGCTCGTCCAGGTCGTCTACATGTAGGGATTCGTCTTTCCTGCCACCGGGGGGCGCCGACACCTTCTCTGCCTTCTTGTCCGGTTCCTGTCTCCGGGAGGCGCTCGCTCCTTCGCCTTGCTCCAGCTCACTGACAAAACAAGAAGTTCGTCTTCAGGTCTGCCTAAACTCTTGTTAGCAGAGTTTTCACGTTTGGCAGCACCGTGCTACATGTTTTACATCATATTGTCATTTAACATACAAAACATGACAGGCTACTGACAGTAACAGCCGGACTGTTAATCACCATCTCACAGCAGAGCCTTGGTTTTGGAGAACGTTCTCTGTGGAGTAGAACCTTACCTGACTCTGCGGCCGAGACGCTCGCACCTCTCCTGCAGCAGCGCCACCTTGCTCTCCAGCCTCTCCTTCTCATCCCTGGCTCTCCTGCTCTCCTCCCTGGCCTCGTCTCTCTCCTCCCTCAGCCTCTCCTCCTCCTCCTTGGCCTCACTCCTCTCCACCCTGGCTCTGTGGATGAGCTCTCGGGCTTGAGTCTTCTCCTCTCTCAGCCTCTCCAGTTCCTCCCTCAGCTGGTCTCTCTCCCGCATCAGCTGTGGTATGGTCTGAACACGTGTGCAGGTGGAAAATAGAAGGTTGACAGACTGCAGACTTATAATCTACTCATGAGGAGAAAGCAGACTTCACACCTCTATCTGTCTGTCCACTTCCTCCTCCTCTTCTCCAAGCTTCTTTCTTCTCCTCTTCAGATCTGCTGCCTGAGAGAAGACAGAAACGATTAGTCCTTGTGGTTTAGTTTGGTGTTAATGGCACACACAGTTATGTCCAGCATCATTCATGCTCATGTCAAGTTCTGATTATATTGAATTTCCATTTGACCAGCAGGTTTCTTTTGGCTGGAAACAAGTGACAAGAGAGGATAATACATTAGCGTGATTTGGTTCATTTTGTCTTCTCTGATTAAAGGTATAAGGTTTCTTTTTTTTATCAGACAATGAGTATTTTTTAGGTAGGAGTTGTACATGTCAAAGGTAAAAACAGCTCCTACCTAAAAAGTACTCATTGTCTGACAAAAAAAAGAAACCTTATACCGAGGATAAGACATTGTTTTAGAGCTGGCATTAACAATTTTGGACATGGCATCATCGTTTCAGCAGAAACGTGACAAAACAGAGGGTTAAGAAACTGGTCAGACACTGTGGATTGGGAGAGACCTTGGTCTGCAGCATCGCCTCCTGACTCTTCAGCTCTTTGGCTCTAAGCTCCAACTGATCGGCCAGATCCTGCAGTTCTGACTCCTACAAGAAGAAACAAGATTTTCTTTTGGAAAAGACTACCCTTCATGCATACAGGTTTTAATAACTGGTGAGTATATAAAACGTCCACCTATAAATATCTAGAGAACAGACACAGGACTGATTGTGACAGCTAGGTAGACACGTTAAGTGAAGCACACGCATGTGTTTGTTCTGTCTCACCTTTCGTGAGTGTGTCAGCTGAGTCTTTTGAATCTGTGCGTCGAGCTGCAAGCGGAGTTTCTCCAGCTGGACAGCATGTGATGCCTGGAGACGCTCTCTGTCCTCCTGCAGAGAGGACAACAAGCGCTCCCTCTGAGCAGTCTCCTGGAACACAGACAGAACGTCGTTTAAAAAAAGAAGCTGTTTGTAGGTAGATCCTTCTAAACCCAGTTCAGTGTTTGGGAAAAGTTCACAAAAGGAATATTTCTGTAGATTAAAGATAAGATTCAGTTTGGGAGTTATTTTGCTTTCACTATCCATAATGTTCATATTTTGAATCTGAACTAAACAAACCAAAATATCACAGCTTCATTTAAAGATATTCTACTGTTTTTTTCTGCAAGTTGCATGGGATGAGGTTGTGCACCGGCTTAATTTGGAAGTGATTCTCTGACCTCATCCAGGTATTTCTCTCTGATGCTATTCTTCTCTCTCCTGTGGTCGTCCCTCAGCTGCTCCAGCTTCCTCTCATGATCACGCTGCACTTCCTCTCGCACTTCCTGGAGCACATCAGCCAGCTGGGCAGCGGCAGCGAGTCGGTTTATGGCACAAAAAACTTTTATTTCATTGGACTTCAAGCCTTAGCTCACATTCACAGAGAAACAGGCATGATAACAACGTAATGTTGTACATATGTGGGTGTGTGTGTCCTCGAACCTCTCGGTGGTATTCTGCCAGTTGTTGTTCAGGTCGTGGACTCATCATCAGCTCCCTCCTCCTCTCTGTGCTTTTGACCTTTATACAGACAAAACAGAGCAAACAGAGAGACGGATCATTAGTCTGTGTTCCTCGGGTCCATTGCCTCTGTGTACCATCGAGGCAGAACAAACAAACTTTTGGTTCAAACTCTCAGACTGGTTCGTTTACATTAATACATCACATTAACTAAATGTGACCATACACTGCACACACATCATTTAGTAGTAAATGGTTTCAAACCTGCCTTTAAAAAAATAACAACAGTGCAAGCCTACATTTTACAGGGGGGGCACTACTTTCAATGCAAAATGGATGTTCAGGTTAAATTGTTATGGATTTGTCACACACAGCATCAACCACATTTAATAGCACCATCATAACAAAGGATTCCTGATGATTGTCACAAACACCTGAGAGGGAATGAGCGGAATCAGAACTGTATGTCACATTAAATTAGCACAGCAAGTAGCCACACACGTGTCCGCTGTCCTCTTATCAACACATGAAACTAAAAACTCAATGTCAACCTGCTAACATTTCTGCAAAGATTGTAAAAAACATATGTAATTGAAGTGAAATTCCTCTGACATAATTGTTAGGAACAAATCTGTAGCATTGATTTCACTGCTAGCTGGACACAGTAGAGACTACGTGGTTTAGTGGACAGGACATGTGACGTTTTGCCATGAACTTATCTTGTGTTGCTATATCTAACGATAAAGATAAATTCATCATTGGCAAATATTAAGCTAATTGAAGTGGACCTAAGCCTGGACCTCCGTCACCTCGTGTTTCAGACAGTTCAGTTTCTCCTCCCTCTCTCTCTGGAGTCTCTTCCTCTCAGCCTGAAGCTCCTCTTCTGACTCCTCCTTCAGTCGTTCCATGTCCTGCCTCTTCTGCGCCTCCAGTCGGTCTCGTGTCGCTGTTCGTTCTTCTTCTAGAGTGACGTGTAGCTCCTTCAGCATGATGTCGCTCTCCTTCCTGAGCGTATCACACAAACACCAATATCAGTATGGGGAATAACCTCAGTAGACACTGGGTGTCTAAGTAGACACAAAGATATAAAACAACTACAGCTCCAACATACGTGTTTATGTATAACTATGTGTGTAAGTCTGACCTGAGTTTGTGTTGCTGCTCTTCCCTCTCCCTCTTGACAGACTCTCTGAGCTCCTCTATGGTGCCATCACTCTCCTCATTCAGTCTGGCCTCCTCCTCTCTCCTCTTGGACAGAAGATGCTTCCGCAGAGCCCTGCAAAGTCAAGACAATGTTCAAAATGAATGCTATGATAACATGTGATCTAACCAAAATACATTTAAAAATGGAACCTGTATTGCTCTATGCAAAAGACTCTTATCACAGATGTTAATGAGCCACCAGTGGGAAGGAACCAATAAAGAACACAGCAACACTGCTTCAGTCGTAGCATTTGTGTTAAATGAACTTCTGTCTTGTTTGGGGGCTGAAAATGTAATAGTTGTAATAGAAGTACACTTTATGCCTACCTCAGCCTTTCCTCGCTCTCCTCCTTCAGTTTCTTCTCCTCCTCCTCCTCTTCTCGCCTCAGCTCTTCCTGGAGGAGGTGCATCCTCTTCTCCTTTTCCTTCAAAATTTGCTCCCTCTCCTCCTGCATCTCTTTTTCAGGCTTCCTCTTCTCCCTCTCCTCCTCCACCCTTTCTCTCAGACTGGTCTCTTCACTGTCTGCCCTCTTACTTTCCTCCTCCTCCCTCTCTAGCTTCTCCTTGTCTTTCCGTACTCTCCAGCTTGGCTCCTCTCCCAGAGAGCTCTCCTGGTTTTTCAAAGGGAGTTCAACGTGGTCGAGTCGAGTGTTTGACACCTCAACAGGTCGACCTCTGGAGGTTTCAGGCCTCTGGAGCCCCAGAGACATGCCGAGGCCTGGGGCTTTTCGATTGTGGCTGACGCCTTCTTCTGAGTTGGAGGAGCTGGAGAGTGAGGGTGAAGGGCTGGACTGGTGAAGAACAAGTCGGTCGACTTTATGGACTGGAGAGTTGTCTTTGTCTTTGGCCAGCATCTGCCTGAAGACAGACAGACAGACAGAGGGGGCTGTTATGGTCATCCACGGTGAGGAAAATGTTAAAATATTGTGATAGCGTGAAACTTTTCAGGATTGTTATATTAAGGGTCAAGTTGTGTATTTCTCAGAAATGCACAAGTTTTATTCAACATAGAAGCTGCATGTTGGTGGGAGATTATCTTTAGGGTCTGTTTCACACTGTGGAAACAAATTCAGCAGAATTTAACAGAGATGATAAAAACACTGGATAAAGAAGGCCGGCAAAACCAGAGCTGGACTGCAAGATCTCCACGTACAAATAAACGTCTGTTTCATTTAAGCCTTTGCCAGATGAATTCATACAGTGCTGCACAAGCCCATCAAAACCAGGGGAATCTCTCTGTATTTTGCAATATACTGAAGTTTTAAATTTTAAATCGTTGTCTGTGGTGAGGGCTGCAAGGTGGCTCGGTGGTTAGCACCGTTGCCTCCGTAGCCACCGTGGCGTCCCGGTGAGGACACCCGGGATCTTTCTGCGTGGAGTCTCCATGTTCTCCCCGTGCAGCGTGGGTTCTCTCCGGGTTCTCCGGCTTCCTCCCACACAGTCCAGAAACATGCTGAGGTTAATTGGTGATTCTAAATTGTCCGTAGGTGTGAATGTGAGTGTGCTTGGTTGTCTGTCTCTAAGTGTAGCCCTGTGATAGACTGGTTACCTGTCCAGGTGAACCTGCCTTCACCCTGAGTCAGCTGGGATAGACTCCAGCCCCCCATGACCCTAGTGAGGATTAAGCGGTGTATGGATGGATGGACTGGTGTCTGTAGTGACATTTCCGCATTGTTGCACAGGTAGCAATGCCTAGCAACGTTACCTAGCAATGACTGGATAGCGGAGCAGAGAAACCAGTAGGGCACAGCAGTTATGAGTATATGAGCATCCAAGACTAGCTTTTGATGCTTCAGATAAAAAGAAAGTCAGCATTCAGAGAAAGACTACAATCTAAAAAAGAAAGCCAGCAGCAGCATGTCTCTCACTGCCAGAACAGGGAAACATAACTTACACACTGCAGGTTTGAATTTTGGTTATGAAACACCACAAGACCTGCTAAGGACCCCCTACCCTGAGCAAAGCAGCTATTTTCCAGGAACAATATTAAAACAGCAAGAAACCTCTTGTTGGCCTCAGGCTTTTTTGGCTTTCCTCCGTCCTCACACCCTTCTCCTTGATGTGCTTCATCTCTGTCTTCTTTCTCCAGTGGACTGATTGTGCCAGACAGGTCGTTGATGTCGAGAACTTTCTCCGACAGCTTGAAGACACAAAAAAGAACCATTAGGAGACAGCTGAACGAATGAGTAAATGGATGGATGGTGAGCATCATAGTGCAGCATCAGAGTACCTTGACATCGATGGAGGATGAAGCCTCCTCAGCGTTCTTGCTGTCTTCAGACTCCTGCAATAACATGCACACAATAACAATCAGTGATAAGGTAACAGTTCTGTGTGGCAACCCAAATGCACACGCGTAGACGACCAAACTGCCCAAAAGCAACGACGAACATCGATGCATGCTGCCTATACCAAGGACACACAGAGAAACACTGAGCCTACATGCACACACAACCGAGGCCAGGGTGCAGACAGGCGAACTGTAAAACAGACAGTCAGGCATCTGTAACCGAAGCAAGCAGTGGCAGTGAGGGAGGGAGGTGATGGCAGGAGATGAGCCTCCTGTGTCTGGTTCAGTAGCTCAAAATATATCAAAGCTGATACCAAAAGACTGCAACGTCAATGAGTAGAGGGTTTAGAAGCTTCCAATCCAGTCCTCAGGGGCTCAAATGGTTTGTCCTTTAATGTGTGCGATTCATGACATCCAGGCAGGGAATCACAGAGGACCAGCCCCTCAGGCAGTGGAGTTGGATTCTGGGAGCTACATGCACCTGCTTGCAAAGAGCAGGCAGGACCAGAGTTGGGTTTGGGTAGTGAATGACAGGGGTGGGGAGGATCAGCACGCACAGAGGCAACACTGAACCCTACCTCTGCAGGAAGGGGGGGTGTTATTGTCACATCCTTGCCAGCAGGACTTTCTCCCTTTTGGTTAAGCATCTTCTGGCCTAGATGTGCTGGCTGGACAGGAGTCATCTCGTCTTTAAAAACTTCGACGACCTCCTCCTCGCTTTCTGATGCACTTTGGGGCTTCTGACCGTCTGATTCGTCGTCTATCTCCGCTCCCTCCCTCTCCGTTTCTTCTTCTACACTCGCCACACATCTTTCTAGCTCTTCCTCACCACTTCCTGTCGCTTTCCTCTGACTCAGGGAGCATCTCTCCAAAGCCTCCTCACTCTCACCCTCTTCACCCTCCTCTTGTCCTCCTTTGCTGTTTACCTCTAGCTCCTCTTTCTCACTCTTACTCTGCTCTCCATCCTTCAGGCTTCTCTTCAGCTCATTTCTCTCCTTGTCAGTTTTCTCCTCCTCCTCGCTTCCTCCATTTTGATTACTTTCAAAGCGTTCCTCCACAACCTCATCACATACTTCCTCAAATTCCTCTTCTTCTACATGCTGCACTTCTTCTTTCTCCTCAGTTACATCCTTCCCAGCTTCATCACTCTCCACACTCGCCCCTCTGTCTTTGGTTTCATCACCCAGGCTTTCAACACCACCTCCTGATTCCTCATCGCTATCGTTCTCTTCTTGTTCATTCCTCTCCTGTCCATCCCTGTGTTTCATGTTTTCTGACACTTCCCCTTCACAGCATTCCTCCTCTGCCTCATCACTCTCTCCCTCCTCCTCTTTCTTGCTCTTGGCAGTCACTTTACTCTGATTCTCTTCCTCTTGTCCCCCTTCCTTTATATCTTTATCATCTGGCACCTCTCCATCGTCCAACTCATTTCCTTCCTCTCCTTTCGCCTCCGACCCTCCCTCTCCGGCTTTCCCTCCTCCTTCATCCTCTCCCTTCTCTTTCTGAACATCTTCCAATTGTCCTCTCTCCTCCTCGTCCGCCTCCACTTCACTTAACTCCTCTGCTACTTCCTCTTCCGATTGTTCAGCAGAGCGTTCGCTGTCAGGGGTGGAGACACCGGCCCCTTCCTCACTGACATCGTTTCCACTGCCCGCCTGAGGAGAGCGGTGGATGTGGCGGCCCTTCAAGGAGTCCTTGGTACAGGGATATAGGAGGAACAGTCCATCCGTCCCAAACAGAGGCACAAAGGAAGGCGTGCAGAGACACAAGGGAGAGAAAGGATGGAGGAGGGCAGGTGAGGGAAGGAGGAGACAAAAAGTTCGTGACCCCTTGCTGAAAGACGGCGGAGGTGTGATGTTCTTGGAGCAACTGCATGCAAAACCAACTAAACATGCAACAACGTAAAACAACGGACACATAGAAATAAATTCCATGAGTTAACACATGCATGTGTGCACAAAATAAATACACAAACTTTCTTGTTCTGGGTCACTCACATCCAAACACACAAACACAGAGGCTGGTTCGAGCAAGTTTGTTTCAAGAATATGATTTCCCTGTTTCAAAGTAATGCGACTAAATCATTCGGCAATTCTGGCATTTTAGGGCAAAGACTGGACGTATTGTATGTGTATTTCAGGAGACAGTTACATGAAGGATTTACGTGATTCATGAATTTGGACTGTTCAGTGGTGATGGCAGGAAGTTGTACTGTTCTCCCTTAATGTGAATTCATTCGTTAATTAGAGGAAAATGCTCGTATTGTTCTGTTTTCGAGGTGATGACACATGCTCGGGTTGTTTAGAATTAGACAGCAAAGCAGTAACAGTGACAGTAGGAGGACAGCAGGACAAAGAGGAAGACGCAGTAACAGCCGTGGCCGTAGGACAGATCCCAGCAGCACAGCAGCTGCATGGACACACATGGGTCACAGTGGCAAAGGTGAGAGGTTTACAGGTCAAAGAGACACGAGAGAGGGAATAACAGATGGTTTAGAAATCACAGGTTACATGAGACAACAAGAAAAGTCCACTGCAGTCATAATAAACAGACAATTAGGGCTTAACTACGACTTAAGAAAACACATGGAGGCCTAATGTATTTGCATCTCTGTCCCACATTATTCACAGAAAAGTCAACCTGCTGTACTTCCCACTATTGTGGCTTTCACCTATTAGGGGGGACGATTAGCATGAGCTCCGTGCAGTTTTTCAAAGACAGCTAATTTTTGCATCTGTTCTCGATTCGGACTGAAAGCAAACAGAATTAAACAATTTGGACCTGATGTTTTTCTAACTATAATAGCTTTTATTCATGAAGAGCTGAGGATTTGGTCTGGTTGGTTTCAGTCTTTTCTTCCAGTTGACTTTCAGGAGTAAAAGTTTTCACCAAACTTAGCAGCAGAGAAGTGAATCAGTTTCCCAAAGTCTGTTGTCTTTAACAACAGTCAAAATCAACCACACACAAACTGCCAGAGATCAAATCAGCCAGCAAGTATCTTCCAATGGAGATTCCTAATGAGGTAAAATGGACACTCTGGACAGCTTTGTGTTTACCTTCAGTCAGACTGCAAACAAACTTTAAAAATGATTTATGTACAAATATTTTCTTTGGGGGGGCTGCAAGGCGGCGCAGTTGGTAGCACTGTTGCCTCGCAACAAGAAAGTCGCCGGTTCGCGATCTTTCTGCGTGGAGTCTCCATGTTCTCCCCGTGCAGCGTGGGTTCTCTCCGGGTTCCTTCAAAAACATGTCGAGGTTAATTGGTGATTCTAAATTGTCCGTAGGTGTGAATGTGAGTGTGCTTGGTTGTCTGTCTCTAAGTGTAGCCCTGTGATAGACTGGTTACCTGTCCAGGTGAACCTGCCTTCGCCCTAAGTTGGCTGGGATAGACTCCAGCCCCCCCGCGACCCTAGTAAGGATTAAGCGGTGTATAGATAATGGATGGATGGATATTTTCTTTGGAAAGCTGCACGGAGCTAATGCTAATAGTCCTGTAAACACTTTATTGCCTTTTTTATTGGAGGGTGCAAAGTTAGCATGACACAGAGAGTCACAGTAGCCACAAAAACTGGAAATACAGCAGGTTGAAATGAACTGGAATTCATTTTCAAGTTCTTCTTAGCAAAACAAACACTAAAAACACAACTCTGTCTGCGGAATTTAAAAATGATCAGCGGTCTGCCAGAGGAAAAGGAAAGGAGCACTCTGCGTATTCTGCTTTGTAAAAAATTTCTGGTTTAAAAATAGAAACACAACATTAATATCACCAATCACAAATATATCTGGAATTCCAGGATTGTGCCTCCACAGAATCCTGTCGACTTACACGATGTGTATGAAGAAGAAGTAACGAGTAGAAATGTTTCAGCCAAGCAGTCGCACACATAAAACACCAGAGGCATTCAAAGAGTGTGACACATGGGTACATGTGAAGTGAAAAGCAAAAGAAATGCCAGAGAGATATACTTTGAATGTTTTAAGGGAAAAAAGACAAAAGCAATGCTTGGAGTAACTGGAGTGAGTATAGCTCTGTGTGTTTCTAACCTGCTGGGATGGCGGTTCAGGGCTGTGATCTCCAGAGAGAGCCAAGTCCTGCAACTCTGGCTCCGTCCTCTCCTCAGCTGGAGCCGCACCGCTGGCTTCACTGTCCTAAAGCAAACATTCACACAGGACACTAATATTTCCCACAAGAAGTGATAAAACATTAATTAAGAAACAACACATTTATATCCAAACATCCAAATGAATCAAAAGCCCTCTTATAGAACGTAGAGGGCAAATAATGACCAACAAAGTTATTTCTATGTAAGGGAATTATCAGACTCAAATATATCAGACTATGCGTTTCAGCGTCTGTTAAAAAAATGCTGTAAAAAGAAATCCCTCTGTCTACCTCGTACTGCAGGCCTCCTCCAAGGGCATTGAGGTCTAAGTGGAGGTTCTTCAGTAGTCGGTCTGAACCTTGAGGACTTGGCTGAAAATGAGAAAATGTCTGGTTTTATAAGGACATGAAGTGTATATTTTTAGAGCTTATAGGAAGCTAAGCTAACCTCATTTTCTGAAATCTTGTCTTCATCATCTTCATCATCGTCGTCAAAGCCGGGCAAAGTGAGCGACACTCTCTCCTCTTGCCTGCTGCCTAAAACACTAGACGCCCCACTGCTTCGAGGACCCTGGAAAAGACGGAAAGGAGACTGTCAAGACTCGTGAGAGCATAAAAATTCATTATATAGTCGCCTACGTAGCACAAGGATCTTACACGAAGGGATTTCTTCAGGGGTTCCAGCCCCCCAGAGCTGCTGAGGGACCCCCGGAGTGCAGGGGCGGATCCAGAGAGAGGACCGAGGCCCGGGGCGTCCAGACCTCTGAGAGGGGCCAAGCTGCCCAGTGGGGACGGTAGGGGTCCCAACGCTGAGCTCAGTGTCTGTAGAACAGGAGACAGTCAGTGAGGTAGGCACCTACATCAGCACACGTTAATCGGAAGTGCCTGGAGCAAAAATCAAGAATTTATCACCCAGTAGTTTCTTTTTAACTTTTCCCATTAACTGTTAGCTCAGGAATGCAACTTAAAAGTAGGAAAAGTTGGTCAACAGTAAGACAGACGCACTTTATACGAGCAAAACAAGCAATAACACAAACACGGAGCTAATCTAATCAGGACAGTGTCAACACGCGTTTAAATGTAAAGCTTGTTAACAGTCAACAGTTACTAATGTGATCAGTTCACTTACTCTCATATGTCAATATTAACTTTAGCAAACTATCCAGTATATTTATTTATAGTCTTCATCGATCGCCATTATTTTGGGTGCCTTCAGAAACCCTAAACTCTGAGAGACATTCAGAACATGACACCTTTTCTCTCTATTTCCACGGCAGACGAGTCCAGTCAAAACAAGACAATATCGACTGTTGTGTTTACTGTTTTGTCATCATATTTAGCTTTATTTTTATACTATATACTGGACGCGTTAAAGGATTCTTACGTCTCGAAGGAGCAGTTTATGATGCTACTATTGTACCACAGCGATGCAGGCAATCATACTCCTCTTGCTGTGCAGCATCAAAATCAAAGTCGCACCACTGGTACTAAAAATTCTCACAAAAGACCTACATCTTCAGAGTACCCACTGTCACTTCTCTGGTAGTAAAAGAACTTCTGAGGCTTTGTTCATTATATTTTGCTGCACTAGTCAATATGTTTGTTCTGCTGTCATGTGTAGCAGTGAGACAGAAAGCATAAAATACACTACAAAGGTAGATAAAAGTGACACCAACTCACTCCAGGAGTCTTGAGTGGCTCTTTCTTCTTCTTCTTCTCTTTTTTCTCCTTCTTCTCTTTCTTCTTCTTCTTGTCTTTCTTTGTTCCTGCGCCCCCAGCAGTGGCGGTGAGCTGGGCACGCTCACGCTCCTGGCTCACCAGAGTGCGGTAGTGCTCGTCGCAGGGATGGTCCCAGGTGGACTGGCCCGAGGAGAAGTTGAAATAGTAGATATCCCCTGTGACATCCTGACTGTGGAGGAAGAGAAAGGGACAGGAAAGGGGGTCACTTTAGCTTTAGCTTTGGATGGATGGATGGATGGATGGATGGGGAGCTGGTTGCACTTCCAACCCAACGTGAAACATTTCTTGGGCCATAAATCGTCCAAGTATTCTGCTTTAGTTAATAATTACTAGTTCACAACCAGAAAATCCTTTTTTTTATTTTTAGTGCAACACTCTCAGAGCATCACACTGAAGCTGAAATATACAAAACCTAAATCCGACAAATTATTTCTTTGATTTCTCTGTAACGCAGTATTTAACGTGAGAAAGGCTTTCAATTTTTGGTTTAGATGCTTGTTTAAATTTTTAATCAAGCATCTATCTACAAGTATTATTAATGGCTCAAACTGCTGCGTTATAAGGAATTATTTAGAGCATTGCACTGCAGCTGACATCTTCCCAGAGATGTTGTTAAGGTGAGGATGCTATGTGCTTTGAAATTTAGGGAATCAAGAACAGACGCTGATCTGAAATCAGTCACAAGGACACAAATGTGCACTTCCTTATTACATTACTTCACTTCGTTATTGCCTCTCCTTCCTACTTACCAAGGCTTCCACTCGGGAGGCAGAGGAGCAACGATGCCTTCCCTGGCCAGCCACATGAGTTCCGGCTCGCCGTCAGGGTCAATGCCAATCTCTCTTGCATACTCTTGGATTTCTGTTTAGAGAGGGAGTAAAAGAAAAAGAATGACAAGAGAAATACACAAGACTGGAAAGTTTCTACGACTATATTGTAGGATAATCGATGTGAGTCATTTATAAGTCCGCCTGTCACCAGGAGAGACCGGGAGACATTTTGTCTACATTTATTTGGGTAGATCCACAGGCATCCATGTTGATGAAAAGTCATCTCCAACACCTTTTGCACTCATGCAACTCCACATCACTACCTCTGTGCTTCAATGTCAGGCCCTTGCATTCACTGTGGACTCGCCAAACATGGGGGACTCTGCCTGTGCCAAACCAATCTATTTTAGTCTTATCTGATCAAACAATGCGCTCCCAATATTCATCAAGGTTCTCTTGAGCTTCTGTAGCAAAACGTAATCTTGCAGTTTCGTGCCACACAGCAAACAAGGCTTTGTTTCCTCGAAATACACTGATGTCACGCAATGTCCTTCACAGTGTTTGAGTTGCAACAGAAACTCTGAGTTCCATTGATAACTGCTGCGGCGGAAGTCCATGTCCATCTGCTTTTCAGAGCTGCACTGTGCAGCTGTCTACTGAGACCTTTCAAGGACTGCGGGTGTTAATGGTGGTACTATACCTGGTTCTAGACATCCTAATCACTGCTACGACTGTGCTTCAACTGGTTTTCAGTTGGTACAGCAATCGGAAGCTTCAGAATTTTCCTTTTTTTTATCAGCATGTGGAGCCATGATGCAGACATGCTCATAGACACATCAAAATAAAGAAAGCTCTGGTGTCCACAGGTGATTATATGTCAATACAGTTGTGCTTATTGGTAATCTCAGGAGTGTTATTTTGTTTTTGTGACTGAAGGATTTCTACCTGATCACAGGTGTATTCATTTTGTTACACTGACTTTTTGTAAATGTTGATTAAAGGAAAATACTCCCTTTTGGTCACTTAGAAATAATGCAGTCATTAACAGGCAGCACAAGTTGGAGTCATTTGACATGTGGGTGATACGGCACAGGGGTGTATTCACTTGTGTTGGATGCTCTAGCTATGGACCCACTGTACCTTGCTCAGAGGGTATGTAGTTCTCATCGTAGTCCTCTTCAAGGATCAGCTGGTCTCCTATGAGAGCAGCTGCAGTCATGGTTACTGCAGAGTTAAGCAGGGAATAGATAGATAGATAGATAGATAGATAGATAGATAGATAGATAGATAGATAGATAGATAGATAGATAGATGCTTTATTGAGATATTATGCACATTATAACACAGTTGTGAAACAAGAAGGTCTCTATAGGAAGCCTCAGCTCTGCACTGTTTTGTGCAAACTGCGCCATTTACTGAGAAAACGTTTTGGGTTTGTTTTTTAGCTTCACATGACGCTCAGCTTATAAGATTAAGAAATTAGCTAACTTCTGGTGTCTTTGTTGTTCAAAGGAAGGGGAGGGCTCACTGTAAAGAACAAGGGAGAAAACTGTGCACCACAAAGGCCACGCTAGCATCAAGTTTACCAAATAATATTGGTGCGAAATCATTTTCAGGACAGTTAAGGTGAGCTAAGCTAATTATTCTAACGGTAGCATTCCAGCTAACTCCAACGTTAGCTTAGCACAGAATGCTAAGTAGTTGGAAAATAGCTCGTTCGTGACAAGCCACTTACCCACCAAACTGTTGGCAGTTTTCTCATGAGTCTTTGTGGTATTATCGACAGTCTGTCAGTTGTTTGACGGGGACATTGTGCGCACAGACGACAGAGAGATGCCAAAGTTACACCACTAACGGCATCTCCAAGGACGCTTCCCACGTTTCCTGTTGACGATGGAGACGTGGCTCTGACTGGCTGAGAGCCGTGAGGCGTTCACGGGCCTTCGGACGCTTCGGCTTCGGCAACATGTCATTTGTCACAATAATCATATGGTGCCAATAGTGACTTGGGTTTGATTAAAAAATGCCATTTACTCATATTTGACTGAGCAGCATTAGACAGAGATGACAAAAACAATATGAATCGGTTATAATCTGTCAAAATGTATGACATTCCTGCAATTGCATTAGCTTTTACTTAATGCAATAAATTCAACAGTGTGGTATTTGCTCCTATTTTAATTTTTAATTTTTTTTTAAACTGACAGGTTCCATATACTGCATTAAAAAGAGGCCAGTCCAGTAGAAACTCTACTACTGCCTCCTACTACTGAGATTCAGTCGTCATTGGCATTCAAGATCAGATGTATGGACAGATATTCTGCCATTTCTCAGAGGCTATTTATGTCAACTGCTCTTAGCTGGAACTTGATAGGTTGTAGGGTTTTTTCTTTCTTTCTTTCTTTTACCTGTTCCATCTTTAAAAGGTTTTGTTTTGTGTTTTTTTCAGTGTGCTTTGGATCATTATTACACTAGAAGATTCCCCTGAGAGTTATCTTGTCAGCCAGTGCTCTTATATATCCACAGGAATTCATGACGCCACCTGAAAACGTCATCTTCCCAACGGCTTTTGCACCCACGCGTCCCCCATCTCATCACACTCCCACCTCCGGTCTTTACTGTCAGGACTGTGCAATCACTGCGGTTGTACTGAACAAGGTCACACCAAATAGACTTGAACCCACCTGAGCTGAACAAATTCATCTTGGTCTCATCTGATCAAAGAACGTCCAACATTTATCTGGATTCTTTGCATGTATTTTTCTTTTTCTTTTTTTCATGTTGCAAAGAAGGGCAAGCGTTGTTTTGTTCAAATAATATAATAGAATAGAATCTTTATTGTCATTGTAATGCATGTGCAATACTTTGTATACAACAAAATTAAAAAGTGCCAAACCAATAGTGCAACATTCATGCCAACTGTCTGTTTTTCATTCACTCATCAGTTAATGTTTTTATTTATAAGTAACTACAAACAAAAAGTGGAAATCATGAATGAAATTTATGACCACCAATCGACACAAGTAAAAGATTCTCTCCACAACACTGTGAAGATAACGTCTCTGGTATCATTTACAGCCACTCTGCTCTGCTTGGAGGTGCTATGGCTTGACCTCCACATTACTGCTGCAGCTGTGTTTCAACTGATTTTTAGTTAGTTTAAACATGTACCACTTCTCCATAATGGCATTATTTCTAATTTGACAAGTGGAATATTTCCTCGTTTTAACAACCAAATACAAAAAAAAACAAAACAGAAATATTAAAAATACAAGCTGCAAAGAAGCAACTCAGTGCAACAAAACAAGTTAGAAAACATGTGACAGCTGAAACTAATTTGAGTAAACCTCTGATTGTTTTTAAAAGCCTAAAAAATACAGTTATAAAATGACCTGTGAACACCAGAGCCTTTGGTAACCTGTGTCTGTTTGTATGTCTGCATGTTTATCTAGATGTCTCTCAGTGTGCTGACATCACATGGAAACAAAAAGAATTGAAAAACGTGAGGTTGTGAGATTTCACAAAGAATGCAGGAAGACTGGCGACCAACTAAAAGTCAGCTGAAACACAGTTGTAGCAGGAGGGCAAGCCACAGCACCACCAGTCACAGTCAGTGGCTGTCTCTGGATTTTTATTTCATTTATTTTCACAATGTAGCTCTAAAAACCAGACAGTGGGAGGGACAGAGCACAACATGAACCTCTATGAACAAAGTCCAAGAAACAAATAAACAAATACTTGCTCTTCAGCACAAAACTGAAAAACTTTGCTAAAGAATGAAAAAAAGAAAAAGCCTGATGATTATTGGGAAAGCATTCTTTGGTCAGATGACCATTTGGCCTGCTGGGTGTGAACCTGGTCAGGACTACCAGTGAATACATGGTCCTGACACTGAAGCATGGAGGAGGGAGTGTGAGATACGGGGTTGCCAGAGTGCCAAAGGTGTCGGGGGAGATGACATTCACAGACGGCACCATGAATGACTGTGGATATACCAAAATACTGGCTGACTAGATGACCCCCAGTCTGTAGACGCTGGGCAGGAGAGGAAAGGTCCAGAATATCAACCCAAAACAGATCAAATCACACAAGAGCTACTAAAGAAGAATAGAATTTAAAAAAAAACTATGATGGATAAGGATGTTGCCCGGCTTATGTTCAATGTAGTAAATCTAAACTGTTGGTTTCAAATTTGCCACAACAGCAAAGACACGACTATCCGCCTTATAGATAATACAAATACTGCAAGGTGATGCAATTCTGAATAATATGACATTTGTGTTATACTGCAGCAGGGTGCAATCGTGTCTCTTGTGTCCTATAGTACATTGAAATTGAGAACTTCTAATGTGGACAAACAACAATAACCTAAGATGACAAGAAAAGTACATTTATACAGACACATTCTTGTACTTTAATGTGATTTGTGAATTAGGTAGCTGCTGTTTTGTTTTTAATGTGTTAAAACAGTTTGGCAGGAGTGACTTTACTTCAACAAATGGGATCAGTGGTGTGATTTACGCCTGTTATTGTAGTCGAGGTTGAATGCAAGGATCCCTGCGGTGCGTCAAATGGAGCTTTATGCCCCCCGAGCCTGCTATTCACAGCTGGGCTCTGCATTAACACTTTGCTGCTAAAGGATCCCACAGCCAGGATGTCATTTCACTCCGTTGACACCTTTCTGATTCTGACTGTTGTCTATGCTTCCACGATCAGTTTTTATCCAGAGTGTGCCCAAAGGACTGCAGGGTTCTAGCTTTAAATAAAGAGCACCATATTAGTTTTAATGCCATCCTGATCTATTTATTCTGAGTTTGAACCACAAGAGGGCAGAGGAGGGCACTAATCCATCATGACCTACATCACTTAACAGAGAGCTGTGGTGATGTACTGAATTGATCCAGTTATTATTTTTCAGACTTAATATGGTGCCTGTAGTGTTAGTTAACCTTTCATATCCTGCTTACTCTTTGACATATGTTTCCCTCACCTCTGGACAGTATTTCTATGGTAGACGTCCTGCGTTTTTGTGTTCATAAAGTCCAGGTCATGTCACGTTTTGATAAAGTCCATGTCAAGGATTTTCTTGAAGAATGAATGTAAAAGAAAAAATCCATTGAGACACCTCGAAACATGACTTTTAAAATCAAATCCCTCAGAGCTAAATGTCATAGTTTCTACATTTCTTTCTAAACCATAGCACTCAATTATTTTTGGTTTGAATTTTAGTCAGAGCATCCGCAGAACCCTAACTAAACAGTGTTCAAATTCAGCAAAAGTTTGTGGGACTTTGTATCAGGGTGAATGACATCCACATCTTGAGCAATGATAGCTTTAGAATTGCAAACAGGCCTTGAAATTCGGATTATTAACACAACACCTACGCACCAAACAGTTGTAATGTGAGCCTGCGGTGTGTCATACAGTCTCCAACAACATGTTTGCATGCGCTTTCTACTTTGTGAATGAGCCACAGAAAGTCGTGGTTCATTTTTGTTTTTTTGTTTTTTTTTTGTTAAGAATTGAGTCAATTTATGTTGGATGAGGATAAAGCACATACGTGTGGTCGTACCTTCAAAAGACCGTTTAATTCTGAATGTCTTTTCCCGGCTGTGTCCTCCTGAAGAGAAAACTCTGTTTCTTGCAGTATTTGCTATATCAGACATTTAAAGTTTCACCAGGAGCATGTTGTTATGATAAAGCATGACGAGTGACCTTGATATTAAAAACAAAACCAAATTATCTCCTTTTTGATGTTTTAAAAGAAGCTTTGTGATAGTTTAATTTAGTGCAGATCTGTTATGCTGGTTTGCTTTAGATTGCACAGATGCACCTACAAATGTGGCTAATGAATGTAGATGTCAGACAGGAATACAAATAAACCAACAACCCTGAAATCAACACAGAACAAATAGGATAGTCACTTTATTGATCCCTTTACACAAAATTACTTGTTACAGCAGCTACATTAAAAGAGAAAACAACCCCACAAGTCGCCCGACACTGAAGGCACGCATAAAATATAAAAACAAAACATACAATCTAAAAATAAAAATAAGATAAATAAATAGGTACCCAATGTGCAAGATAAATAAATACGACAAATAAAACCACTGAATATAATTTTACAGCCAATAAAAAGAATATTAATTTCAAATTCCATACATTAAATTATCTTCTACATCTTCCAGTGTACTTGTAAATATTAATATATATTAGGATTTTGCCCCACAGGTCCCACAAACGTCTGTTACTCTCCTGGACCTTGTACCAGGGTGAATGACATCTACATTTTGAGCAATGATAGAATTACAAACAGGCCTTGAAACTCAGATGAAACCCAACACCTACGCACCAAACTACATGCACGGGTCCAGCTGTGAGATTCCGGTGTTTAGTACAAATTCAACAACCCAAACATGTTTGCATGCACTTTATAGTTTGAGCAACAGCATGGTGCAATCCACCTTTTTTTTATGTCAGAAATTTAGTCAACGTTTTTTTATTTATGACGCAGGAAGACGTCACCTCTCTGTTGCACTTAAAGCCCAGACTAGCAAGTAAATGTTATCACTGAGAGTCAATTAAAGTTTCAATACAATAAAAAGGCCCTTTAATTCTGACATTACCTGTCAGGCAGTGTCCTTCTCAAATGGACATGTACAATGCACACTGTGTCCTTGATCATTTCAACCCTGCAGCATTTGCTTTCATCTCGCACAAGTTAAAAGTTTACTAGTGACATGTTGTTCTAATGTTTGTTGGTCCAAGCATGTTACTGTGCACTTTAATAAACACTATTATCTATGGAACAGTATACGAGGCTGCAGCGTCTCATAAACAGAGAAGATAATGTTTCCTATCAGAACGATCACAACTCGCTGCATGTCGGTTTGGCAGACAAGGTGCTCGATGTGTCCTCATTAGTCTCTGATTACGTGAGCGGTCGTCAGTACGTGTGAAAGTATTTTATGATTAAATAGTAGGTCTTGGTGTCTGTGCATCACCTTAATTGCGCTCTTCTAGGTTATCTGGGTTCAGGGGGAATTTTTCTCGCTTTGCTGTCAAGCTGCACAGCCCTCAGGGCCATGCAACCTACAGTGACTCTCTACGACCAGGGCCCGCGGCCAAATATCTGTATTAAAGCAGAAGAGACCTCGGCAGATGTGACATTGCAAAACCACATTGCTGCAGCTAAGTAGATGTGGCTATAGCCATCTGAAGTGGTGTGTGTGTGCTGCAGAAAATGAGGGAGAGCTCCACAGTGTTGCTTACAGCTGAGATAACCTCCCCTGCTGGTCTGAGAGCAGTGCTCCATCATGGAGGCAGCTGGAACAATGACGTGACCTTTGAACCTCAGCCAGGGCCTGATCAAATGGTGGATTTGTTGATTAAATATTTATCAGCTCCAGGCAATTACCCCACATCTGTCTGTAAAACTGCTTCTTCATCGTCAGCAAAGGAGTTACTTTTCTTTGTCAAGCAATAGGAAATCACAACACACGTTTTAGCCTGGATGTCAGCGGGCTTTAGCTGACTCTAGGAGGAACTATTGGAATCCTTTAAATAGGCCACATTGTTCAGACTGTGTCCATTTAGCTGTTAATTAGGTCCTGATAATGTTAATGGCAAGCTGACACTGTGATTTAGCTCGAAATAGCCAACGAACAGAGATGTAACGTTTGAAAGTGTCTGTAGTTGTTAATCTGACATACTTCTTGTCCATTAGTGCGTCGTTACGAAACCCACAACCCCAGCGGCTGTCTTGCCAGCTCGGAGATCTGAGGTCCTTTCGATAACGGTTATGACGGCAACCCAGATAGAAAGCTCACTGTCAATGCTGAATCAATGTGGTGCAGTTCAAGCCGTCTCAAAGGTTGCTGTTCCAGATAAGAGCCAGTCGTCTAACAAGGCCTGTGTCAGTCCAGTCAGCAGCTCCGAGCAGCCGATATGTAGAACATTCTTATCTCATGGACCGGGGCAAAAGGCCCAAAGACTACTGTACATGACGAGAGGGGCCATGTGCTGGCAGATCTGTTCTGCTCTTCACAGTGGTTGGCATGTGTAGGTCTACATTTAACAGCTATTTTCATAGTCCTCATCTGCTTTATCTCGTCATCTTAGAGTCCAAAGTCTCTTTCTAAAAAGGTTTCTTGATTTGTTTCTGCTCATTCAATTTACAATCATATCAAACTGAGAAATGCGGCAAATAGTCACATTTCAGCTGTAGGAATCAACAAGGTACGTTTTTTTTTTTTTTTGCTTGAGAAATGACAAACGACTTCAAGATTATCCAAAGTTTATGTCTTTTTGCTGCTTTACTCAATAACTAATCACCTAATTCAACACAGTGACTTTTTAGGTGCTGCTTTCTGTTACCATGCAGATGTTTCCCGGTGATCAGATGTCACCCACAAAGCTCCCATTGTCACATGTTTTATGTTGTCCGCTGCGGTTGTTTGCTAATTGGTGTCAGACAAATGGCCAAAGCCGATAACAAGGCTGTGAACGTGACAAGAGGACGTGACTCCTTGGTCATCACAGAGCGAGCAGACTCAGATCAGTGACAGACAGCATGGTGTCAGATAGGAAATGACAGAAGCAAATGGAAGCGGAAGTGGGGAAAGGGGTGATAAAATGTGATTTGAAATACTTATCAAGGAATTTCTACAGACATTGAAACTATCCCAAAATGAATGAAGGAATGAATGAATGAATACAATTTTGTTTGGGGTTTTTTGGGGAAAAAAATAGGATCCTGTGCAATAAATGCAACAACAACAACAAAAAACAACATAACGGACACAAACTTTAATGACCCCACAAGAGACAACATGTAAACAATTCGATCCACCATATAAGTTTAGTTTCTGATCATTTAGGGTACAATCTCACTGGGTTTTATGATTAACTCATTTTAGAAATTATTATGACCACTAATCAAGGGTGCATTGGCACATTTCCGATAACTGCACGGGGTCGCTCATGAGTATTTGGCTCTATGATCCTCTAGATTGTATTGAGAAGAATTTGTAAAATCATAGAGATATTTGGAGAAGTGTTGGTATCTAATCAGTCTGGTCCTATTTCCTCAGTTGAGTAAGCACGCTGATAAATCCACCCCATGATAAACCACGGTGGATCAAAGAAACAGGAACTCTTGTCAACATGCCAACTTTAGAGTGACAGGTCGGTTGAGTTACCCATTTTCTACACTTTCACATCGTCTGTATTTTCTCATTGCTGTGTGTGCATGTTGATGTCTCCCATTTTAGGGGATGTTGAAGAGTTGTGCACACCTTGTTGTATGAACCCTGAGAGTAAAATCCTCGTACTGTCTTTACACTACATGCACTCTGTTGCTATGCCAATTTTTAGAAATCTTTCCGTGGTATCTTGTTCCACATTGCATAAGGCATGTTCTTGGACATGTTGCAATCACACAGAGCAAGTCCGTACAGTACAAAAACTGATTGACATGCGTCGATCATACCGGCTGCTGGGACTTTATTATGCAAGAAACACACAGCAGTGGTGACAGCTGCGGCTGATCCATGATAATGATGATTAACCTTGCACCTGATAACCCTGCACTCGCTTTCACTCTGCAGATAGCTAAACGTCTGCTACATAGAAGGCAACATGTCTGGACTTATTTCTGCACAAATGTTCCCATTATGTCACCATCCCTTTTGACAGCAATTTCTTTTCCTACAATCTTCCTCTCATAAGGATAAGACAGTCGTGAACTTGGTGTAGGTAGGGCTTGTTGGACAGGTGCTATTATAGTATCTGAAATATGCACATATCAGTGTGTAAGGAGAGACGACTCTGTGTGCCGTGATCATTCCTCTTCCTCAAGTTACATGAAGCCATAGTAACAAAGTCCACTAGTGAAAGGACAACAAACAACAGGATAGTACACAACACTCTTTGGCCTATTATTAATCACACACACACCGGTGACTAATTTGAGTTAAACTGAGATACGACTGTTTTTGCTACCCTACTAGATGACTGTGATTCGGTAGTGTGTGAATGCGTGTGCATATTCATCATCCACGTTTTGGTGACTTTATATCGAATGTGACTGCATTTCAGAGAGCTGATTGCTTCACCGTCCTCTGTTTATTCTTGTTTGTTTTTCTTGGCTGCTCATTTGGAAGGACTCAGACTGTAAATAAGGTGGCTTTTCCATCCTACACACGGAGCAAATGGTCTGCAAGAAAACAACTCCATGCAGGCCAACTTAAAACCTGCTGTTTGCAAAAATGTAGAAAATAAAAAAGAGTGCTTCGAAACACCTTTACTGAGGTAATAGGACTTTGTTTATAAATCTTGAATTCTATTTTATTCTGATTCTCCCCCCATCCAGCTCTCGTGTGTGTTTGCTGCTTGTGAGGCATCACAAAAGAAACTTCTGCCCCACCATTCCCTCCACCCACTCTAATTTTCACACTTCCTTTCTAATTTCACCATCTTCCTGGCTCTTCACACCGAGCTGGCTTTTGTCTATGTCCGAGTTTCATGTCTTCTGATTTAAAGATAGATATAAGGAGGTCTTGAAAGATCACGTCACCCAAAAAACAAAGTGGTCATTTTGGAGGATTGTTGGGTTCCTGCTAAGAAAGGTTTCTGGAAAAGACACTGATAGTGAGTCTGTGGCTGAGTCTGGCGTGTGTCATTGTGTGTGCTGAGCAACCTCCTCCCAGTCGGTGACCATTGAACTCTCAACCCGGTCCCCCTGCTGAGGGAGCTGGCTCGGGGGTGAGGTCCACCTCCACGGAGACACACAGCCCTCACATCCCACCTCCTCCTCCCCCTCTCCACATGGACACATCCCTCGGCCGGGCACTATAAAAAGTCCGCTCTTGCTGAAGTTGTTCAGTCTCGGCTTCAACTCCACCAGGTAAGACCAACGGCAGTGGCTGGAACTGGAACTTGGGCTGTAGAATAGGAAGACAGGTGTTTTAGAAACTTCTGCACTCTGTACGGTTTGATGAAGTTGTGAGCGAGCACCAAAAGCGTGTCTCTCTGGAAGGAAGATGAGTTAACTTTTAATGGGGACTTCAGGATGTTTTTAGGAGGAACTGTGACTTTCGGGCTCTTTAGTTTGAGGTGATATTGCAGCAGTGTCCGAGCACAGACAGGTGACTCGCTAACTCTGTGACTTTGTTTTGCTGTAATACCTGAAACAGGATTATGTAGTAGTTCAGAGTTTATCTTCTTAAACTGCCTCTCTAATCTACCCAGATTACTGGTTCTAGCAGTGGACGGCCATATGTTTAGTGCAAACTCATTTTAGCCAATTCAGTGTTGGGTGGGCTTTAACAGCGTGTTAAGACATTCTTACTCTAAGTAACTTTAAGCCTGTTTTCGGTGGGAAATGTAATACTTACTGGATTAATGGGTTTCCACTTTTCAATAGCGTTTTTCTGGTCAGTTTATTTTTTTGTGGTTTGTCAACTGTTGTGGCAAAGTAACTTGTTTACTCCATAATAAGCAACTGCTGCCTGTTTTTCCACTCCAGACCACCACCATGAAATTTGCGGCTCTTGTCCTTCTGCTGGCTGTCGGTGAGTACTGAATGTGTTGTTTGTTTTTTTGTACTTACGGGAAATTGTTTAAACTGCATGTACAGCTTTGCTCAGTCACTTGCTCTGTTTTTACAATTCAGTAGTTCCTTTCCTCCTCTTTCATGTCAGGCTCTCAGGCCGCTTCCCTGCAGGCTGATGCACCCGACCAGTTGACCCAATATCGGGCTAAGGTGAAGGAGGGCCTCGTGAGGGTTCTGACACCCTTAGATACCACATCATACAAGGACTCCAAGTAAGACGGTCTCATTTTCTAGTCAGCCAGTCCTACTTTTGTAATTGATGCATGCTTGCTCACTAGTTCGTTCCACTTTCTGCCTCAGTCACATTTCAGAGTTCTCTAGTCACCATTTACCCAATGGTGTGTGTGTGTGTGTGTGTTTTTTGTTTTTTTTTTAAACTTAAGCTAAAATGGGCTCTCTCGTCTCTGTTCTCTTCCAGGGACACCGCAATTGAGACGTTTGACACCAAATTGGGCGAAGTTCTTACAATGGGTCAAGGTTTATTCAGTACCGTCTCTGATGCCACCGAGGGTATCCGTGATACCCTCAAGAAAGATGCGCAGACCTTACAAGCGAGCATCGCTACTGATGCTGAAACATTGAGGGAGAACGTTCTGAAACACCTTCGGGACTATGTCGGTGTGCTAACACCCCTTAAAGAGCATTTAGAGGGTAAGAGACCTGAGCTTGAGGCAATCAAGATCAAGGTTATACAAGCTGCAGAGCAGATTGGTGAGAAGGTGCCAAAGAATTGGGAGGAGACCAGAGGTTCCTTCGCGCCCATAGCAGAAAAGGTGAAACAACAAGCTGCTGTGCATATGGAGATGGCTGAGAAGCAGATTGGGCCCTATGTTACCGAATACAAGGACTCATTCCAGGCTGCTATGAATAATCCAAACGAAAGGCTTCGACCTCTTTTGGAGGAATTTAAGGCTAAGATGGCAGCCTTTAGTGAAACCCTGAATCAGGCATTGGCCAGGAACTAAATCCTCTCTACCCTGTTCTTGTAACTAACCTCACCTCCCTGCCTGTCCTAGATCCATTTCTTCTTCTCAGCTGACAAAATGAAGCTAATACCTAACTGATGAACAAAATGGCGGGACTCTCCTCCTTCCATGCAAACAGCTTACAAGCACACGCAAGCACACATGCAGAGACGAGTACATACTTAGCACACACACATGCTTTATTCTTCACATGTCGCGGCCAACTGCTAGCATTTTGTGTAGGAACTGTATGTGAACTACTACAAGTGCTTGAATCTCTGTGTGACCATGCTTGTCAGATGAAAACTGTGCTTTGGTGAAATACAGCTCAATAAAGATCTGACTGTTTATACTATGTTGCTCTCTGTTATCATTTTCTTTTCTTCTAAATGATCCATAACGACATACAACACGTTGCATTTCACTTTGAACATTATAGTCATAATGTTTTTCTGCACTCTTAAATATACAATGTACTCTAATAACAAAAATTCATTTTTTTTAGGTACAACAGTTCACATTCAGCTTTATTAGCTCATATTATACAGACACACAGCTTTGGGAGAGGTCATCATTGACCGGAAAGGTCTACCGGAAAAGAACAATATTAATACAATCAGTCCTACTTAAGACCGGCATCCAATAGCTTTTGAGATATTTCTGTCTCTGGCACTGAAAGCTGTGATTAATGAGTTGATCAGAGAGTGAATTGGCCTATTGACAGACTTAAGTCTCCTTGTGCTATATTTGAGAAAGGCGTCTTTTTTGTGCTTTGGATCCCTGAGGCTGGAACCTTTCAGCACTTTGCCATCATGGAGCCACATGAGACTACATATGAGCTCACACACACACACACACGCACACGCACACGCACACTCGTCACAGTCACTCTGCACTGCCAAAGACTTTCACTCAAATTTGCAAATAGACAGCTTCAAATTGTCAGAATACAACACCGTTTCATTTGTTTCCTGCTCTTAGTGCCATAATGTACCATCTGACCTTCATGTAACACAAAACCTCATGACACACACATTGTGAGACAAAGACACAACAATGGGGGCGAGTCCAAACCTTAACACTGCGTATCTTGACACAGGATGATATGCTGTATTTTAGAAATGTGCCAGAATGTTGCTTTTGAACAAAAGCGTAAATGCAGCATCTACCTTGGTCAGTCTTAAGGAATAACTGACTCCCCAATTAACATTGTGTTGAAAATCTGCTCCCAGAAAATAGTCTATGAATAATAAAAGCCGACTGTTGCCGCCCTCATCTGTCCACACCCAGTAACACTGGGCTGATTAGGATGTTATTAATGTGCTAAACATTTGTCGGTCAAGACAAGCTCCACTAAAGGCTTCAGGCTATAAGAAACAATAACATTTGTAGGTGCTCCAAAAAACCCGGTGTGTGTGTGTGTGTGTGTGTGTGTGTGCGTGCACTTGTGTATTGCGGCCACATACATGCAGCTGTGATAGGTGCGTGTCAGTTGCACTAAGAGTATCGTAATGGATGAGGCCGGCGTAGAGGTCCCCAGTGAGAGTCTCATGGTGTATAAAACCAGCTTGTTCCAGGCCACAAACAGCCAAAGACTTGGGTGGACATCTACTGCGGCGCCTGCCACCGGAATGAGAGAAACTTTTCTCTGTTGCATGGCAAAATTGCGGGTTCAGTTCTCTGTCGGTGTTGATGTAGTGACAGGAGTTGTTGCTGGTCGTAGGAAGTGGCTAACGCATCTGAACTGATCAGGAAATATCATCAGAAGAAACAACACTTCATTCATATTACCAATCTTGAAGATATTGAAAAAAATGAGTGGTAAGTGTTTTATGTTCAAAACTGTCTGAGCCATCTGAACATGTATTCATGTGGTGATGATATTAGGCTAAATCTGTTACACAATACAAAGCCTGGGGCTGGAAAGTGGCTCGGTGGTTAGCACCATCAGCTCGCAGCTAGAAGGTTGGCGGTTCACGTCCCGGTGAGGACACCCAGGATCTTTCTGCATGGAGTCTCCATGTTCTCCCCGTGCAGTGTGGGTTCTCTCTGGGTTCTCCGGCTTCCTCCCACAGTCCACAAACATGTTGAGGTTAATTGGTGATTGTAAATTGTCCGTAGGTGTGAATGTGAGTGTGCTTGGTTGTCTGTCTCTAAGTGTAGCCCTGTGATAGACTGGTTACCTGTCCAGGTGAACCTGCCTTCACCCTGAGTCAGCTGGGATAGACTCCAGCCCCCCTGCGACCCGAGTGAAGATTAAGGTGTATAGATAATGGATGGATGGAATACAAAGCCTTAACATAAATCTGCTCTCCTTTGCCCTCCTTTCCTCAGGTCTTCAGCCGCCTCAGAGCTATGAACTATCCCTGCCCTGCTGCGGAGACGGACGGTCATCATCGAGCACCAAGGCCCCCCAAGTCAATGGGGTCAGAGTTCAGCTGGAAATGCAGGCACTTTGGCAGCAGTTTGACCAGCTGGGCACAGAGATGATTGTTACCAAAGCTGGAAGGTGACAAAAATCCTCCCATTTGCATATGTTTGCTAAACATCTGATCTTGCACATTCTTTCACTTCATTAGATTGTTGTACATGCTGCAGGAGGATGTTTCCAACATTTCAGGTGCGAATCTCTGGGATGGATCCCTCTGCTGAATATGTGCTGCTCATGGACTTCATCCCTGTTGACGACAAAAGATACAGGTGGGACACACATTCAGTTCAGTGCAGAGCTTAATATATGTGTTCACTGTTTCACCCCGTTGTTGAACACACATCTGTGGTAGCTGAGCCATCGCAGGCTCCGTATTTCAAACATTTCACACGCTGAGTGTGTGTGTCAGATATGCGTTCCACAGCTCGTCCTGGCTGGTGGCAGGGCGGGCGGACGTAGCAGCTCCGAGCAGGATGCATTTCCACCCGGACTCACCCGCCCGTGGAGCCCAGTGGATGAAGCAGACCGTATCCTTCGACACACTCAAGCTCACCAACAACCTGCTGGATGACAACGGACATGTCAGTCAATGTCTTTAATATGACCCTACATGCTTTCAATTCATTTTTTGGCAAAAAAGCATACAGCAGTGTGTTTGTTTGACCCGCTAGTTGGGGGTTTTCTTCTGCTTCCCCTTTGCCAGATGATACTGAACTCCATGCATCGCTATCAGCCGCGCTTCCACGTGGTGTATGCGGATCCAGCGCCTAACAGCGACTTAAATGCGTACAGGAACTTCTGTTCCTTCTCCTTCGCAGAGACACGGTTCATGGCCGTCACTGCTTATCAGAACCACAGGGTAGGAATCTGAAGTTCAGTAAACTAAAAGTTATCCAGGACCACATCAATTAGCATTAAGTGATATAACGAGCACACGTATGGGATTAGGAGGCGATTTCTGTTCTTTTTATCTCATTTATTTCACTTTCTTCACTCTGTCTCTCTCTCAGATCACTCAACTAAAAATTGCAAGCAACCCATTTGCTAAAGGCTTCAGGACGACAGACCCCCAGACCTGGTGAGTGTCCGTCACTCGTTCAGGGCCAGAAAACGGTTTGCCTGTTTAAGAGACATATCTCTCCCTGTACAGGCTGGATGGAGTCATGACAAGATCACAGTGTGTCTGTATCGCTGTTATCAACTGGCAAACAGTGATAAGGCAGCAGTCTCGATGATAACTAATCTTTGACCTTTGTATGCAAAGGATGGCAGGTCGTGGCTATATATGGTAAAACTGTGAGGGATTATCATTGCATAGAGACATCTGTGGAGCGCAAATGTGTGCATGCACAGAAATGTATACCTCTGTCTACTGTGTGTGTGTGTGTGTGTGTGTGTGTAGGGTGGGTAATGCCAATGCCTGGTGCTGTCCACCAGAGGGCAGACCTGAGCCCCTCACCTGCAAACCCGGAGAGCAGAAAAACTCAAAGACTTCAGCCAGTGAGCGTCTCTTTGCACTGTAATGCATAGCACACCTTCATACTTCTCCCAGTTTTCACATTTTGATTGTTTGAGGTCCTTTGATGTTTTCATTTTCTAGTGAAATAGTTGTGGCATTTGTTGGATCTATTTTTTTTTTACAAGATTTGAAAAGAAATATTGTGCAACACAAGTCAGAGGCCTCTTTTTGGTTTATGCAGCAGTGCTCGGACCTCAAGTTGTATTCGTTAGTCTTAATAGTAAGAGAACCGCCAAATAAAGCAGCCTCATCAGCATGTCCATGAGGTGCTGTTCATATGGATGATGAGCTAGTAAGCAGTCATGCCTGAGCATTTAAAGCTACTGTGTCTGAGATGATATAACTAACAAACCAAAGCTGTCGACTTGCAGGGTGGGACTTTCTGTATCACTATTCTTCTTCCAAATCGGTCTCTGGTTCCATCATGTATGGCTGAATGACTCCAACATTACAGCTTGCCATTGTATAGCGCAGAGTGGTTTCACAGTGTTTGAGCAGAGACATACGTGAGCTGGTGTGCTTGAGCTGCAGCACAGACCTCATAAATCTGCACATTTTAGGAGAAGCAACAGTGTAGGGTAAAGATTTGTTTTCATGGAAAAAGCACTTCTAGATATGTAATTTTAGCACAAAGAGGTAAGCTGGTAGTTATAGTGACAGGAGAGCTGGTTAACGGGCATAATCTAATGACTTGAATCAATAAAAGGCAAATGATTTCAATTTATTAGATTGAGGATATGACAACTTTGGTCTAAACGCTCAACTGTCTCCTCAGGACAGGGCGGTCCAGCCCCACCACGGGTGGAGCAACGTGAACTGTTCCACCACGGTAAAGACTCTGTAGGAGCCGCCATGGAGAGAAAAGATGGGGACAGCTTTTTGTCAGCACCGGCCTCCTTCCTCCATGTCCCCTCCTACTGGGACTGTGCAGGATCATCTTAGGAGAGAGTCAACCTGAAACCAAAGTGGCTAAATGTGACCTTCTGCTTGATATCATTCAGCTTTACAGTGAGTTTATAGCAAATGTGGCTAGAGATAGTCTATGGTCTCCCTCATATAATGAAGATACACTGATACTACATATTTAACATACATGTAAATTATACAGGTGTACCACGTCAATGGCAGCATGATGTACTGCATTATACCATATATAATACCATGCCAAGCATTAAGAGCACTGCAATATCAGAGCAGCAAAGTGTAACAGATTTCTTATCACATCATATATAAACTATGAAATAGTAGACGTTTCTACAAACTCAAAAAAGAGAATAAAAATACCAGTTAGTCTCAACAGGAGTATTATCAAAAGCCCATGTGAATGTCTCATCGTAACGCTCGTACATCTGTAATGCTTTGGTGTGATGTTTGAGATAATAAATACCAAGTGAAAATCTTAGTCTCTGACTTTTCTTACCTTTATTTTCCTGCAAGTGTCGACTGCTTGTGTGATTTCCAACAGAGACCTCTTGATCGGCAAAGTAGGCATGCTAGAAAAAACTCTGTTACCCAGGATGCAGTGTTTCTCAGGGTTGTTTCCTAGAGAAGCTAACATGACAGCCAGGTTGCCTTCAAACTAAAAGACCGTGAAACATAAATAATACTGCAAATCATGTCAGACAAGAAGCAGATTGTATGGTAGGGGAACTGAAACTGTATTTCTCCTTTTTGCCAAACAGTTCCACACAAAAACTGGATATCACACGACTGCAGGCTGATGTCAAATTATTATTATTATTATCAGGACATCAGTCATTCAAAACCTCTGGGGGGAGTGTGTACAGCAGGCCTACTGTATTGACTTGAATTCTAATTAAACCTTTCATTCATTCATTCATTCATTCATTCATTCATTCATTCATTCAATTAAAGGGTAAACGGCAGTTAGACACCCCACAACCCATAACTCATCTCTTTACCACCAGATGCAGTAAGTTCTTATTATTTTTTTTTTTTTTTTGCTGATCCATTATTTTGAATCAAAGACAATCAAATAGTTTTTTCCTGTCATATGCAAACAGTGTCAAAGTTTGAGTTTTAAGAGAAGATACTGGATAAGAAGCTCCCTCATTTTAAATAATCTGGTCTAGATTTTTGATAAATTATGTTCGGTATCATTTAATACAAAAACATAAAAGCTAACCAGCAGCAAAAACATTGTCATATAAACAAACAAACAAACAAATAAATATTTTCACTGTATTTTTACAGTTTATGCTGTTCATACTATCATTATTTGTAATCTTTATACTTATATTTATCTTCCTGTATCCTACCTCCAGCTATTCTATTTATTTACTGTTTATTCTGTTCATACTGTACCATATATTACATGTACATTTGGGCATTCATATGCCATTAAAGCTTCTCCACTGTGATGTTTTACATTGCACTGGTCTTTCATTGCCTCTTTTTCCTCCGGTTAGATGCATTTCTTGGTCTTTGTCCGAGAAGTCAGCGGAGGCTCTTCGACGTGGACAGTGCAGCTCATTATCGTCGTGACATTTTGTTTAAAAAGCTGTCGCTGCTGCCGGGGTCGTGCTAAACTGGAGGGTTCTCAGTAGAGGGATGTAGTCGCCCCTGCCGGCCTTGATAGGGCATTTTTGAAAAGGTGACCTCTGACCTCTAGCCCAGCTACTGTTGCACTGATTGACCCCAAAGTCTAATCATTGTGAGGAGAGGCCATCCCGAGCTCACCTGTAAGATATGGAGTCTGCTCAGACACACAGATGGGAGCGATCACTCCACAGATTACTAATATAACAACCCTCCATCAGAGTGGAGCAGCTGCTGTGATTTAAGGCCCCTTCATAGGACAGAGCGGTGCTTCTGTTTGGGGGTTCGCTACCATTTTATTGTGAAGTTCCCTCCCGGATGTGCTGCGGTTTCGTGGCGTGACTTGACGGCGTGATGCTCGGCCTCTCGCAGCTCTGAAGGATGCAGCGGGGTAGATGGAGGAGGAGGAGGTGAAGGACTGGAAGGCGGAGAACAGAATGAAAGGGTCGGTAGCGGGGAAGGATGCGGATTAGGGTAGCCTGCCGGTCGGCCTGTCCACCGACGATGGTTTCAGTCGTGTGACATGAAGATGGGCGGAGACAACGGCCCGGGCCTGCGGTGTGCTGCACAAGGAGGGAGAGCTTGTCATTTACGTGTCGCCTCAAGTGATCCGTGACACCGAGGATTGTGTGGCTCAATCAGGAGGCTTTGTGTTTGCTGTGAGGCTCACTTGTTGTGCTCTAAAATCTGCTTCTTCCTAAACATTTGTGGACACCAGGAGCCCTCCGTCGTGTTTGTCCTGCCATCATGGGTTTAGCCGTCGTTGTAGCATCCTCACCAGCTGATCTTTCCTCCGGCGCTGCAGCGGACTGGATGTCAACCTGAGCGTCTTCAAGTCAAAGCAGACAAACCAGAAACACAACTCCACTGTGCGTCAGCATGGAGGCTCGCTGGTGCACGGCCGTGTGCGTGTGGACGGCCGTGTGCGTGCTGAGCAGCGGTCTGTCCGTCCCGGACTCCTCGGGCCTGTCTCTGGCCATCCGCGTGCCACTGCGGCAAGGCGCTCGCGGTGAGCAGCCGTCGCCGCGGCCACCTGCCGCTGCCGCAGCTGCCGCGTCGCGCCGCGAGGGCGGCAACGCGGGAGAACATCCTGCGCGCAGGCGGCGAGGAGCGGCGGCGCGCGGCGTCAGCTTCGTGGACATGATTGATAACCTGCGTGGGAAGTCCGGCCAGGGCTACTACGTGGAGATGGCCGTGGGCTCCCCTCCGCAGAAGGTAAAGCTTCCATTCACACCGCGTGATGAGCGTGTGTGGCTGCTGGATGAGCGCCCTCCTCCTGCTCAGTAGCACAGGAACGGTTCACTGTCATTCTACTAAGGTTTCCCCTGTTTTGTTGTAGTACAGCAGATAACTATTAAAACCACAGGAAAATGGTGTCAGTTTCCATGTTAACACTAAAAATAGGCCAAAGCTGTAATAATGTTCACATAAAAAACTATATAGTTTTTATAACATTTGAGTGCAAAATCACACCCCTTGTACTGTATTTAAATCAGCATATTTTTCATTATTTTACATGTATTTGCTGTTATTTGAAGTAAAAATTATGTACATAAAATAATAATTCATTTAAACAGTTTTACAGATTTTACCAGTTTGTTAAATTACAGATAATATCAGAGGAAAAAATCTGAACTTTCATCTTGACTTAGAATTACATCAGGCTAAAGTGTACATAATGTCCACATCCAAAAGCTGTATTTTCACAAATAGTAATTTGTTCTTTTGCAATGTGTGACCCCAAAATTACACCTATACTGTATTTATATCTGCTATAATATCATTATTTTACTGTTATTTATATGCAGCTTTTGAACATTACAGCATTCCATCATCCTCAGCATATTTTTTCTGACAGTCTTGCTGCTGAATTTTCACCATTTCTACAAAGTCACCACCTGAGATGTTTCTTATGCCATATCTGGGTGGTGTCTCTCTTAAATGTCCTACTCTTCCACTTTACCCAACTGCAAACAGACAAAGAAAAAAACATTTGTTATTAATAGTTCAAACCACTGAATAATTATCATATGACTGTCATGTTAATAGTTACAAGGTTTGTATGTGTGTATTCTTATTAATAAAAGCACATACGCTTATTATGTAAAAATATAACATCAACATACCTGAAACTCTTATTTTTTTTATTTCCTCAGACCAGCATAATGGTTTCAATGCTATGTAAAGATTAACACTACCATCCGAGGAAAGACCTGAAATAAGTATTGATTCTGTTCACTGGTCAGGGGGGGGATAATCTCGGGGGAGGGACTTCTTACCCCAGTTGACCCTATTGGGATTTTTTGACCTATGAAAACAGGTCTACTGTGACAGAATCACATTCAATAAAACCAAGTATTTCCTAAAAATCAATATATTTTTTTCCTTAAAGATGCCAGACTGGCCAGCGTTATTTCATTGTTAGTCTGCAGTGATCTTGGCTGCCCTTGTAAAAGGTAAATTTGATCTTTTGTCTCTCAGTCCCTGTCTGTCTCGTAGTTGAATTTAATTTGCGACAGTGGAATGAATATTGCATTAAATAGCAGGCATTCTCTGCTCTTTGTGTTGACTGCTCTCTGTTCTCTGGTGGCCGTGTAGCGCCTCATATTAATGACTGAATCTGGTGTTCTCTCATAACTGCAAAAGCGAGAAAAGAAAACAACGCGATCATACTGCCTGATCGTTACCATTAAAGACTTCAAAATTCCCACTTTTACCACAGTTTTACATGAGTGTGTGTCAGTGTGTGTGTGTGTGTGTGTGTGTATCTCACACATGGTTACAACCGTGCAGCGTGCTGATGTAACAACATTTCTAATTTAGCTTTTCTACATTCATATAGGGGATTTTGAATTGATGTCAGCTGAGGAGAAGGTATTAAAATATACTGTCTGATTGTTGAATACTGGGAATGGCCCTGCGATGACAGATGGCCTGTGTGTGCGCTAACGTGAGAGAAAGGCCCGAATGATACAGGCAGATAATGGAACCATTAATTCTGCAGAGTGAGGACTGCCAGCTGGGTGCAGCTGCGGTGTACAGGCTGGCACACAGAGGGTGACGGCGGAGGGGGAGACAGAAAGAGATGAGCTGCTAGAGGAGGAGAGGGCGATGTTAGGGCGAAGTGAAACCAACGACGGCGGAGAGAGGGAGGGGTTGAAAAAGATGAAGGGATGAAGGAAAAAGTGCCGAGGAGAAGAAAGTGGGCGTTTGAGACAGGAAGAAGGATGTGTTTGTGTGACGGAGGGAGGATGTGGGAGGGAGACGGGCAGCTTTCAGGAAACAAAGGGAATGAGTGTAGGGAGATGATGAGAGAGATGGAGGGCCCTTAGGTGCTGAGTGGAGGTGTCACTCTGCCACTGATGCTTCCTGTATCAACGAGAGAGACACAAAGAGCACGAGGGAGAGATCTGCCTGCTTCAGATCAGCCAGCTGAAGCCAGTCAGCACTGACAGACAGCACTCTGTTTTAATTAGTATCCTTCAGCCTGAGCTTTCATTAAGAAGTAGAAACATTTCTCCACTAAACACCTTCATTTTTCACTCAAGACCTTCTCAAATGGTAAATGGAGTCATAAGGAACTGTGGGATGTTTGCTGAATTAAAAAAAACAACCTAAATTATGATTTGAGAAACAGACCCAAAAGTGTTCTGGGCCATCTTTTGATAAGTAGCCGACCACGTAGTCTGACTCACCGTGTGAAGCCTGCCATTGGCATTTTAGGCGGCTTTGTCTTCCCTCCTCCACCAACAACAGCCTCTGGGCTAGCAGCACACCACACTGGATCTGAATCGTGCAGGACGCCACCCCTGCTAGTTTTCTTGGTGAATTATTGATTTTAATGCTGCATACCTGCATTCTGGGCTGCAGTGGTTAGCACCGTTGCCTCACAGCTAGAAGGTCGCCTGTTCGCACCCCGTTGAGGACACCCGAGATCTTTCTGCGTGGAGTCTCCATGTTCTCCCCGTGCAGCGTGGGTTCTCTCCGGGTTCTCCGACTTCCTCCCACAGTCCAGAAAGGTTAATTGGTGACTCTAAATTGTCCATAGGTGTGAATGTGGGTGTGCTTGGTTGTCTGTCTCTAAGTGTAGCCCTGTGATAGACTGGTTACCTGTCCAGGTGAACCTGCCTTCACCCTGAGTCAGCTGGGATAGACTCCAGCCCCCCATGAACCTAGTGAGGATTAAGGTGTAGAGATGATGGATGGATGGATGGATGGATACCTGCATTCCACTAAAACAGCTCCACTCGTATTTTTCAGGAACACTGTTTTGCATCCTGTGCTTTGCTCTGCCCAGGATGACTGTGATTGGTCTACAGAAATACAAACATGCCAGTGTTTCCCCCGATAGCAGACTGATAATAAAATGCAGCCAGACGGGCCGGCTAAGCGACACTGCCGAACTAATGGCCCGTTCACACGCGATGCAATAATGGCACCGTTGTGCTCTAAACCCATTCTTTCTAATGGCTTGTGTTGCACAGCGCACTCGCAGCATGCCATTTGGAAGCTTGCGTGCTCAAAGTTCAACTATGTTAAACCCCTGAACTTGCTCACGATAACTTACCCCCAGGTGGCCAATAAAAATGAGCCATTGAAGAGAAAAATCTGGTCCTGCATGTGTGTGGGTTTCCTGAATGATCATGACTTTGGGAGGAACGGCTTCACTTGGAAACAGGTTTCTTTCATATCGACCAGTCAGGTAGCCTGGTGTAGGTGCTCATTAAAGCTGACTTCTTAGAGATTCCTGGTTTTAGCAGGACAGCAAACATATGCTGATGCTATAGAACATAATGTAGAATAAAATACCAACAGTTTATGAGGGTGCTCAGTCTTTTAACAGCTACCTCAGTAAAATGCAACGTACACAATAATGCTGCAGCATTTTAACCCACTAACAGCACAGTCAAACACAGAGATGCAACATTTTATTGCACAATGAGTCCTTTTACTTTTGATAGATAGATAGTAGATTTATAGTAAATTTTGCTGTTAATACTTGTATTTACTTAAGTAAGTTTAAAGAAGCTAGTTCCAAGCACACATTGTAAGTGCTGGATGAGGTAACCGGGCAGAGGGGCCGTTTCATTCCACAGGAAGTTTATCTTCCACGCCTGAAAAGCGTTTGACTTTCTCCTGCCCCGTGCCGTGTCTACCTACCACAGTAGTACACCGTTTCTTGTGATGGATGTGCATGTCATGACGTTGTTCTGGGCCGCAGGATGACATTTGATCACAGCCAAAAATCCCTGCATTGTCCATGGCAGCTGCCAGCTCCGTGACCTTTGGCTTAAAGCTAATCAATGTGAATGCAGTTACAGGCAAAATCCAAGTTAATTGAATGCATGTTAAAGGCACACTCGTCTTTTTCATTCTGGTTGCCTCTATTGTCTCGAGGCCTGAAATGAAAACTTAATGTTTACATTATTAAGCTGCAATAAATAAAGATCAAAACTGAAAACCTGGTTTCAACTTTTAGATATCCCTCACCAATGAAACATTATTAAATCATTGTTTAAACTTATAAAAAGAATATGATCAGTTTAATATATGAAGACTTCTAACACTCAAAATCTGCTGTCTGGACTGTGTGGCTGTGGTGTGTCTTGGCAACGTCAGCAAACATCATCATCACACTTTAAGCAAAATATTGCTAAATCCTTGTTCATATTTGGAAATGTGTAACGTCCAAGCAGACCCCAAATCATCTGTATAACAATATAGTGCTCCACATATACCCATTTTATTTAAAGGAACTGGTGAAAATCTTTTACCTTGTTAACATTTTTTTCCATTTGGTGTTTTTTTTAATTCGCTGAAAGATACGCCCTTGAGCTAAACAAACACTCACACCACGGCCAGTGTACTGATAACAGCCTCAAAACATTGATTCTGACTTCCAAGGTCCAAACGTCAGGAACCAATTCTGTCAGCTTGCACGTGCAGTTTTCTGTGCCATTATTTTTCTTCAGAACTTGTTTGTGCTTTAACCACGTTTGGCTGAGTAACCCCAGCGTTAGAGTGGAGGAGTTCAACGTTGTTTGAGTGGAGTTGTAAGTGAGCTGGTGTGCTCCAGCTGCAGGGAGTAGTGAAGGACTGGGTGGTACATGCATGACCTCAAAGTGGGGAATTAGCTCTCTAAATGAAAAACTATTTATCTTGAGTACATTTAAAAAAAAAACAAAAAAAAAAAAACAGGCCTCACAGCAGGAAGTAAAAGCAACAAACGTTGGTGCACGTCACTACTGAGATTCAAGTCTTTATATTTTTCAATGCTCACCTTTTTTCTTGATGACAGACGCAATCTTCAACACATGACATGTAATGCAGCAACTCCCACCTCTGTGGGCCTCTGTCAGGCTCATGCATTCACTGTGGTCGTCCCAACCAGCCAGAAAAATGTGTTGCTTCCTGTATTCATCAGGGTTGTTTTCATATTCTTTTACTAAGTTTAACCTTTCAGTTTTGTGCTGCAGAGCAAGCAAGGATTAGTGTCTGGAATGCCATCCACTGGGGTTTGTCTTCTGCAGTGTCTTTCACACTGTTTGCGCTGCCACAGATTTCCTCCCGTGTTAATGCTGAAGCACATGCCCGTCTATTCTTCAGAGCTCTGTTGTGCATGTGGCGTCCTGTCTGTTTTAGGAGGACAGCATACGAGTGGTTCTGTGGTTTATTCTACACCTCCTGAGTTTTAGTTGATCACTGATTTTCCATTACCGCTTTCCACATTTGTGAAGACTCACAATCTGATCTTTCATTTCCTCAGGAAATTCTTTCTTTTTCTCCATGTGGAGCCAGACATGTGGACAGACACAGTCCAACATTACAGCCGTCTGGTGTTCACAAGTCATTTTAAAACCATGTTAATGAAAATAGGCGAATTGGAAATCACAGGTATGCTCAGTTTTGTTTCAGTGATCACAGGTGTGGTCTCTTCTGCTGTATTTCTGTTGTATATTTAATAAAGCCTTTGTAAAATATTGGATTTTGATCACTACCAAGGCTCTATTTGTCAACTTAGAATTAATGCAATTGTTGTGAGGTGATTCAGTTTTAAGATATTTATTTTTATTTTATGATTATACACTTTATAAAACTTTATGTAAGTTATCAGTCTATACATGCAGTAGGTTGAGTGAACCAGCAAGGTCACATGGTCCTGAATTTAAATCACTGTGCAGAAGATGCAATGAAAAGCTTTGCATTCCACTGGTAGATGTGTGATTTCAGATGGGTTCTGTTCAGTTCTGTTCAGTTCTGGTAACCACTAGATGATGTCTCCTCCATGGGGGGAAGGGCGAATATAATGGATGGAACAGACCGGCGCTCTGCCAGGGAGGACAGGAAGACAGAGAGGGAGGGAAAGACATGAGGTCTCAGTGTGTCAGGATGCAGCCTTTGGTGTTTGTGGGCGTTTGTGTGTGTTACTGTGTGTAGAGCCTGGTGTGTGTGTGTGTAGGTGTGTGTGTGTGTGTGAATGAAACAGATCAATCCTGTCCAGTCAGCAAATTTCTGTCTAAAAGAGGAAGACAGAGCGTGTAGAGCATTATGGTTGATAGTAGCGGAGTGTGCAGAGGGAGGCTGAGTGTGTGTCACTGATGTGGAAATACTGTATTTGTGTGTTAGAAAAAAATAACGTAGACAAAGTCAGGATTTATTCGGGGCTTTCAGCCTCGACCCTTGAGACAGTAGCACTTCTCTGGATATTTAAAGAGCCAATCCATTATTGAACAGCTTGCTGTGGCTCGGTGGCTGCCTGTCTGTTCGGGTGTTTATGTGCCACTCGGTCCATCTCCTCTGTCAAAGTCTTCCTTTGAACGTGTCAGTCAGGATTAAAATGAAATTAAAAATTGTACATACTGTGTGGCATAAAGTAGCTTGAATGTAGTAAATTATTATTTGTAATGTAGATAACGATGAACTACAGTGTGTGTTGTATATTTCGCTCCATTCACACATTCACTGTTGTGACTGATTGCGCAAAATTTGATCCTCGCAAAGAGAAGCAGACAGAAGAGGAGGAGATGGAGGAGATGGGAGAGGTGGGGGAGTAGGATGGGCAACCTGAGAGGAGGGAGGTGGAGAGTGGAGACAGAGAGGGCACAGAGAAGGACGTTTAGGTCGAGAGGAAGCATCGCAGGACGCTACAACGAAAGAGAAATGGATACAGAGAGCATCTGAGGGATGAAAAATGAAAATCACTTAGAGGCTGGGCTGAGTACTCGCTTTCATCAAGGACTTGATCAAAAGATGTGCCTGTGATATTATTGCTACACAATAAAGAGATATCAAGAGCAAAAAGCAGCTTTATAAGTGGACAAAATAGGGCTGCAACCCAACATTTCTGTCAGTCGATTCATCTGACGATTCATTGTTTGATTTATAAAACGTCCGAAAATGGTAAAAACTGCACTTAAGATGTCTCGTTTTGTTCACAACCCAAAAATTTTCAGTTTAGTGTCAAAGAGTAGGAAAGAAAACTGAAGCTATTCACATTTAAAAAGCAGAAATCAGACAATTTTGACTTTTTTTCTTGAAAAATTACTTGTAGTTGTTGTTGTAGTTGTAACTTTTTTTTTCCGAACGTGCCTAGTTCAACAAATTTGCTTTGCCAAGGGGACCTTTATGAGTATAAGGCCCCTCTTGATAATCAGATTTTCTTTTTTTATTATTGTTTATTGATTTATTTATTCTATTTTATTGAATATGACAACATTTTTGCATCATACTGCTTTGTTTGTAAAGTGTAGTTTTGTCTCTAATGAAAGCAACTGTCTGAAGGTGCCAAGACGCAGATTACAGTAGGTCTTCAAAGATTGAACATAATCATTTACTGATTTCTGCACATAGTCTGCATTAATAAATCTCTCTCCTGCTCTCTTCAGCTGAATATCCTGGTGGATACAGGAAGCAGTAACTTTGCTGTCGGGGCAGCTGCTCATCCTTTCCTACGCAGATACTACCATCGTTCACTGTGAGTAAAGACACACTCAGTGGTCACACAAGTGCCTGAAAGAAGTTGCTCAGAAACATCACAGGTAGAAGGAAAGTAAAACTCTGCCCCTCTGTGTGTTTACAGCTCCAGCTCATACCGAGACCTGGGCAGGAGTGTGTACGTTCCCTACACCCAGGGGCGCTGGGAAGGGGAGCTGGGCACCGACTTGGTCTCCGTCCCACATGGCCCCAATGCCACACTGCGCGCCAACATCGCTGCGATCACCCAGTCAGATCGCTTCTTCATCAATGGCTCTAACTGGGAGGGAATCCTGGGACTGGCCTATGCGGACATAGCCCGAGTAAGACGAGCACGGATCCTGAATAAAATCTTCAAATGAATGATCTCAGCTTGTTATTAATCCCGTTCTCTCCATGCAGCCGGATGAGTCGTTGGAGCCTTTTTTTGACTCTTTGGTTCGCCAGACTTCCGTCCCAAACCTCTTCTCTCTCCAGCTGTGTGGTGCAGGCTTCACCCAGAACTACTCGCTGGGCAGCGCGACAGTCGGTGGCAGCATGGTGAGACACCCCCCAGTCACTCGCACAAATCGTCCTGTTTTAATGTTTTAAGCCAGCATAGATGTAATTTTTCCCTCCAGATAATCGGAGGAGTGGACCCGTCGCTGTACGTGGGGGAGCTCTGGTACACGCCCATTCGCAGGGAGTGGTACTACGAGGTGATTATCGTGCGTATCGAGGTGAACGGACAGGACCTCAACATGGACTGTAAAGAGGTAAGTGTTGACGCTGCAGAAACCAAAGAAAGAAAGGATGATCTGATGATTAATAGAAGCTTTTGAAGAGTATTTGCCATCTCCTCTGCAGTACAACTACGACAAGAGCATTGTGGACAGTGGGACCACCAACCTTCGACTGCCAAGAAAAGTCTTCCAGGCTGCAGTTAAGGCGATTGAAGCAGCCTCTTCGGTCAGTATGCGTGTTTATTTCTGTCAAGGTGGAGGTGTTTTCTGGATCAGCAGGACCATACAGTTAAAATAGTTTATTGTAACAGGCTAGGGACTTGTTGGGCTTGATGTGGAGACACTTGCCGAGGTGGTTTTCTGGCGAAGAGCTGGCCAGAGAGTAATATTAATGAGGGGTGTGACGGATGCAGGCTACAGTGTGAGACGAGGTAGAGGATTGTCTAGGAAACCCGAGCTGGGAGTCCAGATGCAGTGGGAAGATGGCCGGTTCAGGAAGGTTCTTGGCAAACGGGTGACAGGAGGAGACTGACATGGAGGTTTGAGGTTAGACTAGTCCTGAAATAGCACCGAGGGGCAACACTAAGACAGAGGTTGGACAAGACGACACCAGCACATGAGAACGACAGATGAGCAGAAGGTCGATTGGATGATGAGGTATGTCAGCAGATTGCTGCGACCAGGCAGACATGGAGAGGGATCCTACAGAGAGTCACCGCCAGGACCGTTACAATTCTAATCTCTGTTTTATTTCATTTTTGATTCTGCTGCCCCAGTCACAATCCACTTCTAGAGACATCTGATGAAAGCAGTATCAAGCTATTTATTAAGTTTTTGCTTGCCATCATTGAGGATGAACCGTGAGATAACTCTGTCTAGGTATTACAGAATAAGCTGTAGTCTCCTAAAAGCGCATGTGTGAGATTGGACACAGGAATGACTGAACATCCTCCTGACGCTGTTTTCCAGACAGAGCAGTTTCCCTCTGGTTTCTGGTTGGGGGAGCAGCTGGTGTGTTGGCAGGCTGGAACTACGCCGTGGCACATCTTCCCCGTCATCTCCCTCTACCTGATGAGTGAAAACCGCAACCAGTCCTTCAGAATCTCCATCCTACCGCAGGTGATTACAGCAGCTCATCCTGAATCTGAGCGTGGTTGTGATATGAAGGAATGTCGCTGAACCTTCTTACCAAACGATCAGTGTGATGTAAATCATTTGAAGTTTGTTCAATTCACTAAAAGGTTCGCAATATGAAAATACGAGGTAGCTGAACGTAGGCTGAAGAATTATTTAAACTTCATCGGATGAGTTTTGAAATGTAAAATTAGCTGAATTAACGGGACAAGTTCAGACAATAAACTGAATGAGACACGTTGCTCTCAGACCATTGTTCCATACAGCCCTGTTTTCCTTTTATATTTTCTCAGCTTAAGGAGTCTTTGTTTTACTTCAAGAGTTACTGGCTCAAAGTGTTGCAAGCATTTCACACATAAGACAACATGAGAGGCTGTGTTCAGATGTACGGACTGAATCCAGTAGTAACTTTCCTCATGGCTTGCACCTTTTGCATTATCATATAAAGAATGAATCAGGATTTAAATTACACAGAGAGTCCAAGCTGTGCATGATGGGACGTCTGCCAGCGTTTCATTTTTGAATCCTTGAAAAACTGATGTGATGAGTTGATTCAGCTCAATACCAGGACCTGAAAGCAGACAACGGATGCTTGTAAGTTCTGTAATTATCTGAATAAAAACTGTATATTTTAGGCTGAATTAACTAAAACCGAACCAAACGTCTGCGTTAACATTTAGTTACTATAAAAGATTAGTCAGTTCCATAAATATAGGCTTAATATTTCAGATTGTAGGTAATGTATTTTTACTTTACCTGCATAAAAAATGAGAAATTAGGTCTATTTTTTGCTGTTGCATGGTTTAGATGTGCGATGATTAATCAGTTAATTGACTGTAATCACCACTATATTGATATTCAACTGTTAAATTCTCTGATTTCAGCTTCTTAAAGTAGACATTTTCTGATTTCTTTACTCCTCTATGGACATTAAAGTGAATCTCTTTGGGTAGTGGACCAAGTGCGACATCTAAGGAAGTAATTTTGGACTTTAGGAAACACAGATCAGCAATTTAATAAATCTAATCAATGAATCGAGAAAATAATCGACAGATCAATAGACAGTGAAAATAGTTGTTACTTGCAGGCTGAGTATGCTCACCCATGAAATACCGTTGGGAGACAGATGCTTAATTCACAGTCTAATTGAATCCTCAGGCCGACTGCCTCTATCATGAATAAGTGCAGAGTTTTTACGTCCCTGTGCACTCCTACAGGAAATCTGGTCAGAAAATAGCGCTCGTCCCTCAGCCAGCCTCTTTTATAGCGTCCTCATCGGATGAAAGCGCAGCTCGGTTCCATAAAGAACAAATGACCACATTTAAAAAGAGAATTGCCTTTGAATATGTTTTCCAAAGCTTTGAAAAGTCATTAAACACTTTTTTTATTCAAAGCCTCTCAGACTGACCTTGATGGAGGTGGAATGAATAAGATTTGTGATTTAGAAGTGAAGTTGAGTGCCATAAACCCGTGGGAGGCTCGTGACCTTCACGCTGACTGACAGGCAAAACGCTTGAGAAAAGTTTTATTTTACTGGCCTTCTGTTCTAATTTCTAAAGCAGAATTTCATTAAATTTGAACGTATAGAATGTACTCTGAGCATACAGTAGGTATTGTATAAGACCGCTGGCATTGAATCACTGCTGGTTGAAATAATCCTGGAACATCTTGTGATAATCGTATGAAAGACATTTTACAGAACTTGTAAATGTGCTTTAGTTGACAACCTTGTCATTACATTGTTCTACAACATATGTACAGCAGTGACCCCATGCAGCTTCTCATTACTGACTGTGACTCTCTGTGCAGCAATACCTGCGGCCAGTGGAGGATGTGGCCTCTGCTCAGGAGGATTGCTACAAGTTTGCCGTGTCCCAGTCCAGCACTGGCACCGTGATGGGAGCCGTCATCATGGAGGGCTTCTATGTGGTCTTCGACCGTGAGAAGAAACGCATCGGCTTTGCTGTTAGCACCTGCCATGGTGAGGAGGAGATGATGGAGGGATAAGAAAGGAAAAGAAGGAATCGTTAAGGCCAGTTCGTGCTTTCTGTTTAAAAGGGTCCAACAGGGACCATGATGACCTGTCATTGGACGCCCAGGTGAAACACAAGATTTGTGACCATATGAACTAGGAATCCATCCATTCATTATCTATTCACCGCTTTATCCTCACTAGGGTCATGGGGGGCTGGAGTCTATCCCAGCTGACTCAGGGTGAAGGCAGGTTCACCTGGACAGGTAACCAGTCTATCACAGGGCTACACTTAGAGACAGACAACCAAGCACACTCACATTCACACCTACGGACAATTTAGAATCACCAATTAACCTCAGCATGTTTTTGGACTGTGGGAGGAAGCCAGAGAACCCGGAGAGAACCCACGCTGCACGGGGAGAACATGGAGACTCCACGCAGAAAGATCCCGGGTGTCCTCACATTTTAAACAATTTTTTAAACCGATAATTGAATTTGCAAAATTTTGCAATGAATGAAGCAAAAAGGTGATAATTCCATATCCAGACAGAATATTTTTAGCCACAGACACGTAGTCATCACTCAAGCAGCTTGCTTACATTAACCACTACCGGAACGCTGTCCTTGTAACTCCAGCTTGCCATGATACCGTAGCTCTGGTCAGAAGCCATTAACCGCCGCAAAAGTCCATGTCATGGTGTGCATTCCCATGTGAGACGGGTTATATATGAAACAAAAGTGTACTTTATTATCACAGTGCCAGGTATAACCAAATGCAGTCTTTTGCACAAGTCAGAGTTCAAGGTGACACTACGACGCCCCTGGAGCTGATAGGGTTCAGCTCGGTGGTGCTGGGGCTTGAACAGTGAACTTCTGAGCCTTAACCACTGAGCCAACAGCACCTATGTACACGGAAAGCCACTAGTCCAGCACAACACAACACACTGCAGCTAGAGGATGGAGGGAGATGAGGGAGTGAATGCAAGCGTCACCTCCTCCTACAGTTAAGTCTCCCTTTCGTATCTTTGAGCTGTTGCACACGGAGAAACAGTCAACACATTACTGCACTTGTTGACAATGTTTATATGAAGCCTTGAAAACGTGCATAATTTATGATGCCACATAGTTCAACGTGTGCATATATTTACCCCATGCGTTCTGCATGGTACCACATGTTTCATATGTGCAGCAATCTGTTGTGACATGAGGTGACACGTTTTCCACATGTAAAATTCATGTGATTCAGCATCTGCTTGCCAACAAAAAACTCTCCAGAGTCCCAGTGACTGCCTCTGCGAGTCACTATAGCGTTAAACACAAACTGCAGCGTTCCATCTCATTTAATAGTAAAAGGCTCCACCTGGTGGCTCAACCAGGTACTAGATTTTTTAACATGCACATCCTTCATCTTCTGCCTTATTGCTTAAAATATTGTTAATTCAGTTAAAATAAAGACGACCATTACTCCATTAATGGCTAATCATCAACATCCCTGGTGCAGAGTATCTACACCGCAGGCACGTTACTGGAAAGTAAATGGTGTTTAAAACAATGCTTGCTGTGAGAAGAGACCAGGAAATTCTTGGTCATCCACACCTTTATAATTAATTATTTAAAGGGTTGTAATTGAAGTAGTTGCTGTGGGACTTTGGAAGTGCTTTGATTTGTGCACACTTTCCGTCAACAGCAGTAGGAAATCCCAGTTTCTCCAGAAATCCTATGTAACATCCAGTCTCTGTGCTGACATTCCTCCGACATGGTGCTACAGGCCAATTGCAGCTGCTATAACCTGTAAAACGTGCAAAGTTGCAGCCTTTCGGGGCGGCTGTGGCTCAGGAAGTAGAGCGAGTCGGTCGGTGATCGGAAGGTCGGCGGTTCGATTCCGCACTGTAACCTGTTTCATGGTCGTTGTGTCCTTGGGCAACACACTTCACCCACCTTGCCTGGTGTGAATGCGTATGAATGGATTGTTTGAGGTGGTGGTCAGAGGGGCCGTAGGCACAGAATGGCAGCCACGCCTCTGTCAGTCTGCCCCAGGGCAGCTGTGGCTACAATCGTAGCTTACCACCACCAGAATGAATGTGTGTGAATGAATAATTGACAGTGTAAAGCGTCTTTGAGTGTCCAGAAAAGCGCTATATAAATTTGATCAATTATTATTAGTGTAACAGAAAAACACAGGGTTGGTTTTTGGGTTTATGGTGTAAAAATAGAACAGAGGAGAAGAGAAGACACCAGCTTGTTTACAGTGAAAGCAGCATCCATTATCTGTTATTCTGATGTTTGTGTTTCTCAAATATCCTTCATCCTATTCTCCTATTTGCAGTGCACGATGAGTTTCGGACAGCCTCGGTGGAAGGACCGTTCCACGGCGTCGACCTGGAGGACTGCGGCTACAACATCCCCCAGACAGACGAGTCCACTCTCATGACCATCGCCTACATCATGGCGGGTATCTGCGCCCTCTTCATGCTGCCGCTGTGTCTCATGGTGTGCCAGTGGCGCTTCGCTCGCTGCATCCACCCACACGGGGACTTTGCCGACGACATATCACTACTGAAGTGAAGCGGAGAAGTTGGGGACAGGAGTCGCAGAGACCTACGCTTTAAATGCAGGACACAGATGGATTGTGGTCAAAGGGATGTTACAACATGTTGGTGTTGTTAAAGGAGAGCTTTGATATATGAAGTGTAGACATACAGTGAACACACAGCGAGGCTTGCTGCTCTCAAGCTGTTTGCCAGGATAAATAGAGCCATTACTAACCTGAAGGACAGACAAGAGAAAGGTGTTGTCATCAGCAGCAACTTTGCCTGTTTAAGCTACCTATGCAGATCAGCATGGCTAGAGGAACACATGAGGAGAAAAGGGAAACAAAAAAAACTGCTCCTTGTTATAAATAGTGTATAAATAAACCACAGAGACGGATTGGATTTGGAATTCTGAACGATCTGGCTCAACAATGCTCGACACGGAGTGATTTGGGGAAAGAGAAAACAGATAAATTACAAACATGGTTAAACGAAGAAACTCTGAACCTCGATGTGAATGCAAGACGGGAATCCCTCCTGTAGTTGGGCATGGTTTGCTGTGGTGTGATTTGAAACATGAACGCGTGGCTACGTGTGTGTTTGTAGTTTTTCTGTTTGTGGCTTACGATCGAATGAAAGCAGTTGGATATGTGTGAGCATGCCTGTATGTGTGACCAGCTGTCCTGTAAGTAAAGAGTATACAGAAAGGTTTAATGAAAATGAAGCTGATACTTATGAAAATGATACTAGCATCTATGAAATTACACTATTTTGCATATGCCAGCAAAGTCTTCTGCAATGCAAGTAAATAAAGAGGCTAATGTGATGAAAAATCAGAGTGTAACAGCATTTACAGTTTAAATCGGTTTCGCTTAGCGTGAAAACTGAGACTACTGAACACGGTAATACCAGATGTCACTTTTTCTTCTTGTATTGATAGCTTAAATTTATCTATTGTACATAAGATTTGTGCATTCCAGACGTTCTGTTTGCACACACACACACACACAAAACACACACACACACAGTGCTTATCCTACTGCTGCACCATCTGATGATTTGCACATGTAACAACACATTACATGTTAACAAACCCAGACCTAATAGGGCTTCTTTCACAGACACACAAACAGCGGAACTCACCACATCTTCCAACGGGGACCATATATGCTTGGAGAAGGAAACCAGCCCAAAGTATGTTATACACTAAAGAACACTATGTATGTCTATAAGGGACAGTTTGTCTCTGAGCAAGCTGTAAATAGATCCACTCAGAACTGTATATTTATCTGTCAGGCGCTGGCAGCACTGTTGAACCAATAAAGTACTTATTGTAACTGTATAATGGGTTTTCTTTCTTTTCTTTATCTAAGAAAGGGTTAAACTAGTGTATATGTTTGGGTCTAATATATTTAAATGCTACCACTGCAGTTTAGAAAATTAATTATCATCAATACCCCCTCCAGATGACTGATTGTCTACCTGATTACCTATTCCTGTGATGGGAATTAAACAAGGTACAGTCGTCTTCAAATGTATTAAAAGAAGGAAAAAAACAGCTTCAGTCACTATAATAAGTTAATATTGACAACAGTAATAATAAATGAAAATTTAATTTAAAAAAAACATGAGGTTGCTTTTGAATTGTGGTTCAACAGAAATATTAAAAAAACAAACAAACAAAAAAAAACAAGCATGATGGGACCCGTAAACGAATATTTAGTTGAACAACCCTTTGAGCCAATCAGGTGTTTTCTGTAACTCTCAGTCAGACTTGTGCACCTGTTGACAGGTATTCTGGCCCACTGCTCATCAGCAAAGGGCTTCAATTTGTCTTGGACAGGTTTCTTTTGTTGTTTTTGTTTTTATAAAATTATTCTTTTCAACCACAATTCAAAAACAATGTCTTATTTCACTAAATTATAATTTAGCTTTTTAAAAAAAATGTATTATTACTTTTTTCAGTTTCTAGTTATTTGAGTGACTGTTGTGAATTTTGCCTTTTCTTTAATGGAAGGGGATGAATACATCTGAGGACGACATACGCAGCTAGAAGCCACTTATGATGCCTGTTCTGACTTATTTCCAGCCCAGTAGCATCTCTTATTTCAGACCACTACATGCCAGGAATGACGGGTTGGTTGGTGTGTGCTGCAGCTTCAGGGAAACCTGGATGCATCTCAGAAAAATCAGAGACTCAGGCGTGTCAGTTGCAAGAGCCAGTTCAGACAGGCAGCTCGGAGCCTCGATAAAGTGTCTTATTACTTCAGATTTACATTCAATTAATTCCAATATCAAAATCTAACAACATAACTCAGCTGCACATGACGAAAATTTCTCTACTTATATATCAAAAGCTGTTTCTCAACAAGGAATACTACATTTTGCTCAAGCACAGGGTGGAGTTCATTAGATTTCCACTGTCATCGTCATCACTGGCAGTTTTCAGTTCACACAGGATGTTTACCAAAGTGAGCGGTCGGCGGCTAGAGCATTTATGATCTTTACCACAGGAAGCTGCAGTCCTATGTGTGTCAGACGAATGTGAAAGTGTGAGGCTTCAGGATGTTGTGTACAAACACAGAACAACATCAGAGTTCACAGTTTAGCGATAAAAAGGGGATTCTCAGCCAACATCATATCGCAGATGGAGCCCTTAAAAACCCTTTCTTGGCCAAGGCTCCTCCTTTGTCCTCTGTTCCAGGGATCCTGATGGTGGCGCCGCCCAAAAGAAGACATGTGAAAGGTCGGCTTCCCATGCCAGACACCAAGAGCCCTCGCAGAGCTCTTGCAGGACGACCCCCATATGCTGTCTAACTCCTGGCCTGTCGGCTGGTGTGTCTATGGCAGCTACCAGCGTTGAGTCCTGAACAACTCTCCAAGGTGCTCAGTGAGGGGACCCCTTGCATCCTGAAACACTCCCTCTTCTGGTATATCCAGGTTGAAGCCACCTTCTTGCTTCACATTAAGTTGCGTCCAACATTTTTCTGCCCTTTAAGAGCTGCAAGCGTTGCAGTCTGGGTGTTCTTAACTCACTTACAGCTCTTGTTTTTACATCCAGAACCTGGCCTGCTTGCTGTCATGCTGGTTTGATGCAGCTGGGATCTCCCTCTCTGGTTCTGGGCTGGTTGATGGACACCGAGAGGTCGGTTCTATGTGGGACTCCTCGTTCTGTCAAGGGGCATGAATTTCCCTCTAAATGCAGTCTATTGTTCATTCTATTGTTGAGACATCACCCAGATAAGATGAAGGGACTTCTAACCAGATTTCAGGCGACTATGAGACCTTAAGCACAAGAGGGCATCCATCCATCCATTATCTATACCCCGCTTAATCCTCACTAGGGCCGCGGGGGGGCTGGAGTCTATCCCAGCCGACTCAGGGCGAAGGCAGGTTCACCTGGACAGGTAACCAGTCTATCACAGGGCTACACTTAGAGACAGACAGCCAAGCACACTCACATTCACACCTACGGACAATTTACAATCACCAATTAACCTCAGCATGTGTTTGGACTGTGTGGGAGGAAGCCGGAGAACCCGGAGAGAACCCACGCTGCACGGGGAGAACATGCAAACTCCACGCAGAAAGATTCCGGTGCCCCCACCGGGACACGAACCGGCTGCTGCGAGGCAACAGTGCTACCAACTGCGCCACCCTGCAGCCCCCACAAGAGGGCAATTCTAACTAATTATATTTTCAACAAAGTGATATTTTATTCTAAATGATATAGCCTGTTGCTTAAACCAAGGGTCTCTCTCTCACTTCCAAATAGACTGAACAAAAATATAAATGCAACACTTTTGTTTTTGCTCCCATTTTTCATGAGCTGAACTCAAAGATCTGAGACTTTTTCTATGTACATAAAAGGCCTGTTTCTCTCAGATATTGTTCACAAATGTGTCTGAATCTGTGTTAGTGAGCACTTCTCCTTTGCCAAGATGATCCATCCACCTCACAGGTGTGGCATATCAAGATGCTAATTAGACAGCATGATTATAGCACAGGTGTGCCTCAGGCTGACCACAATAAAAGACCACTGGAAAGTTTTACTGTACTGGGAGGGCCCGGGGGGGTCAGAAAACCAGTCAGCATCTGGTGTGACCACCATTTGCCTCACGCAGTGCAACACATCTCCTTCACATAGAGCTGATCAGGTTGTTGATTGAGGCCTGTGGAATGTTGGTCCACTCCTCTTCAATGGCTGGGCCAAGTTGCTGAACTGGAACAACTGGAATACGCTGATCCAGAGCATCCCAAACATGCTCAATGGGTGACATGTCCAGTGAGTATGCTGGCCATGCAAGAACTGGGATGTTTTCAGTTTCCAGGAGTTGTGTACAGATGCTTGCACCATGGGGCTGTGCGTTATCATGCTGCCACATGAGGTGATGGTCGTGGATGAATAGCACAGCAACAGGCCTCAGGATCTCGTCACCATATCTCGATAAAAATGCACCTGTGTTCATTGTCCGTAACATACGCCTGCCCATACCATAACCCCACCGCCACCATATGCCACTTGATTCACAATGTTGACATCAGCACATCGCTCACCCACACGATGCCACACATGCTGTCTGCCATCTGCCCTGTACAGTGAAAACTGGGATTCATCTGTGAAGAGAACACCTCTCCACAGGACCAGGCGCCATTGAATGTGAGCATTTGCCTGCTCAAGTTGGTTGCAACGACGAACTGCCGTCAGGTTTGAACCATGATGAGGACAACGAGCATGCAGATGAGCTTCTCTGAGATGGTTTCTGATAGTTTGTGCAGAAATTCTTTGGTTATGCAAACCAACTGTTGCAGCAGCTGTCCGGGTGGCTGTTCTCAGACAATCTTGGAGGTGAAGATGCTGGATGTGGAGGTCCTGGGCTGGTGTGGTTACACGTGGTCTGTGGTTGTGAGGCCGGTTGGATGTACTGCCAAACTCTCTGAGACGCCTTTGGAGTCGGCGTATGGTAGAGAAATGAACATTCAATTCATGGGCAACAGCTCAGGTGGACATTCCTGCAGTCAGCAGCCAGGTGCACACGACATCTGTGGCATTGTGTTGTGTAATAAACATTTACAATGGTCTTTTATTGTGGCCAGCCTAAGGCACACCTGTGCAATAATCGTGCTGTCTAATCTTGATATGGCACACCTGTGAAGTGGACGGATCATCTCAGTAAAGGTAAAGTGCTCACTAACACTGGTTTAGACACATTTATGAACAATACTTGAGAGAAAAAGGCCTTTTATGTACACAGAAAAATTCTCAGATCTTTGAGTTCAGCTCATGAAAAACGGGAGCAAAAACAAAAGTGTTGATATTTTTGTTCAGTGTAGTTCAGAGTGCAGCAGCTTTACTTCTTACTGGGTCTAATACACATCATCACATCCCTCCAATCGAGGCTTATCTCCACTGGCTCGCTATCTGTTCAGAATTGTTTTTAAGATATTCAATTTTAAAGCACGTCTAGGTCTGGCTCAGAGCTACATAGACAGAAACGTTGACAACATATACGTCAGATCTAAAGATAAGCGTGCTTTGCCATCAGGGTCCTCAGCTTTCGAATGACTTGCCTGAAGAGATAAGGATCACAGAGTCAGTGACTTCCTCTAAATCACTTCTTAAAACCCATTTCTATCAGCTTGCTTTTATGTGACACTGTCTTTTTTTCATCATCTTTCTATAGCTGATGAAGTTTTTTCTGCTTTTGCATTTTATTTTGTATTTACTGATACTTTAGAATCTGGCCATTACGCTGTACCTCGGATATCCTGTTCATATGTTTGTCTTCATGTGATTCTCATGACTCTCTCTATGCATTTCTATGTACTTTTTCCACATTGAGGTATGTGTGACTTAGTAGCTGCACAGGTTTGAACTGCAGCTAGTGGTTCAACAAGTCTGTCCAGTGTATATGTTCTCTTGTTTGGTTTTGCGATCATTTTCTCTCCCACTTTACCCTCATTTATCTCCAACCAGTCGAGGCACTGCTGCTCAAAAACAATCTTTGTATTTGTTGGGTTTTCCATATATAATTCTGTAGGGTGTTAACCATAATTTTTTTTAATCAGTCAGGTAAATTTAGCATAATCAACAATACTGCAGTGTCCAAACCTTAACACATAATTTAGTCACGGAAATGTGTATTTTATATAATATTGTAGGACCTTAATATTTAAGTTGGCCAGGTTAATTGAAAGTAAACAGTCTTAAGTTTAGTATTTAAATTAGTTGGTAAATGTAACCTTCCTAGTTACTCAGGTAAATGTGTATTTTATACATATATTATATATATTGTAGGGCAATATTTAATTACTTTGATAAACATATATAATGAATAAAACTATAAGGTGCTAACCTTAACATTGAACCTTATAGATAAATCCCCAACGCCAATCTTACTCTTCTAACTGAAAGCACTTTGGGCTGACAGTTGTTACTTTCAAATACCATTTAACAGCTGGTGACTTTACTTTAGATATAGATAGAAATACTTTGGGAAATTTGGTTGTTACAGCACAAGATAGAGTTACCACCACCATAAATACCAATAAATAGGCAAAAAAAAAAAAAAAAGAAAAAAAAAAAAGCAAAAAGGTAAAAAAAAAAAAAAAAAAAAAAAAAAAAAAAAAAAAAGGAAAAAAAAGGCAAAAATTCAAAAAAAAGCCCGGGGGGAAGAAAAGGCAAAAAAGGAAGGGCAATAAAACAAGCACAACAGAAAATTCCACTTTTCTTAAACTTTATTCATTTATTTAAATAAATAACCAATCAAATATTTTTTTAAATGTACCCCTGACATGAACACCCTTTTCTGCGAATACTTTTACCGCACAAAGGATCTTTAAACTAAAGAAAGTGAACTCCCTCTTCAACACTTGGCACCCAGACAGCACCTGTGTTGGGCTGTGGCTCTGGGCCAATCAGGAAGCGAGCAGCACGGCTGCGCAGTGGCTACATGACGTAGAACGTATCACTCGTGTGACACGGAAATGAGATGACAAGCTCAGCGTTACTCACTGATTTCACCACAAACAGCGGAAAAAAACTAATTCGACGCAAAGGTAAGACACAACCGTATTATCGCAATAGATTGTCGCGGTCGCTTATTCCGTGTTTTCGGTAAGAACGGCGGCGTTAACGGCGTCCGTCAGCGACACTAGCTAACTTACAGGCTATGACAACAACGACGCTGCCGTGAGGCTCGAGTCCCACTTCAGGTTGTTGACTTTGTTCACGTTGTCTTTAATGTGTAAATAACTGCCATATTTTACTGTGGTTGTGGAGGGTGTGGGTATTGTCCCAAACGCGGCCCACTAAATCACACAGCTCGGCGAGCTGACGGAGGAGCTAGCTGACCCATATTCAAAACAAAAACTGGATAATGAGCTAAAGTGCCAGCTAACATCAACAACGTGTTAGCTGGCAGAGGAGTCGGACTTTACACTGACGGTAATTTAGCCTAATTAAAATAGTAATAAAGCTGTATAACTTAAGAGTACTTTACATCACCTTAAATGCGTCTCAGATGGGTTAAGATAAGATGGTTTTATTTATCTTACAGTGGAGAAATTCATAGTGTTGTCAGCAGCAGTACACACAGAGGTACACATATACTGGACAGGAAATGTGCATATGAAAAAAAACCCAGTGCAAACATAAGTGTAAAAATGCACATTCAAAACAAACATAACATAAATACTAAACAGTGCAAATGCAAATATATACATACATGCATGTCGTGACATAATAATAAATTATAAATCAGTCTTAGCAAAATGAAACTGAGCAAATTTTCCTTCTTTTATTTCTAAACAAGGCCACTAAATCACGAGTATTTATTCGTGTATTAGAAATTCTATCCTACCCATCCTAATAGACTGACATTCATGTGTGAAAGCGTCTTCACAGTGCACAAGTGTGGACGTCACCACGGTGTTAATCAGATGTGCTCCAACCGCAGCTCTCTCAACTGCTGTCCACTTAGTGGGATGCTGTGAATTTGATAAGTTGCCGCTGAATGCAGCACACAGACGACAACCAACCAGCCGCTCATTCTCAGATTGTCCTGACTAACGAGACCTCCTTGTCCCCCCTGTGTGTCTTTGTCCCATGTCCAGGTTGCGGTCCAGATAAGGAGGGCTTGCCTGGTTGACCCTGCGTGGAACCCCCTTCCTTGCCATGGCAACGCCCTATTTTCCCACATTCCTCTTCCTCATTTTTTTGTCCTCCTTTGCCCTCTTGCTGCTCACCCTTCTGCCCTCTGTCTCCCCGTCAGTTCCCTTTCCATCCTCTTCTCATTCCTCACCTTGGCCGTCGCCGTCCTGCGGGCCGGGTCAGTCCTGGGCAGTCCGGCTTCACGCTGGCTCGCATCACCAGGAAGAAGATGCTGAACAGGGCTCTGTGCACCTGGATGTCATAGCCAACAGGGTACAGTACTTCATTAGCACTGATATTTTCTGCTTTAATGGTAACACTTAGAGGATATCTCTTGCGCAACCATTTCAATTGTGAGCGTTTAGGAAATGGTCATCATTTTCAGTATTTTCAAAGCGTTTCTATTTGCCTTGATAGAGCATTATGACATTTGTGTCTCTTTTAGTCTCTCTCATTATACAGGATGTCAAATCTGAATTCTTTGAAGTCTCATATACTTGGTCTAAAATGAAACTGAATCCCTTGAAAGAGCTACCTCATTAACTTTACATACTTGGTGCTTATTCTTAGATGTGGCAGTGTTTATATTATTGTCTCATTTTGCAGTGTAGTTTTACAAAATTTGTTTATATGTTGATTTTAAATTAAAAAAAAAAAACACACTCAGCTATGTCATTTCACTTTTAAATTCAAATATGTTGTTGCGTATGGCTTTATGTTTAATGCTCACACAACCCCATTTCTCTGCAGGGACCATAGAAGTTCGCTGTGTCAGATTTTTTAAAAAACAGACAAAAGTTGTGAGGGCATGCGCCTCTGTAACCTTTTTCCTCTGGTAGAAAAGTGCTGGCGTGGCACTGTGGAGTGCTTAACTCAGTGCTTCAACCAAAAAGCCCTCTCAAGCTGCATGAAAGCCTTGTTTCCATAACAGTAATATCTTGACTGCAAATCACTATTCTAACCGTCATTGTGTGGTAGACTAGTGTCGCTCCTGTTGTGATCATTTCTGACACAGATCGGTATAAACATCCAGAAGAAACTTCTCTTATATTTTCTTACCTAACTGGGCGACAGATGCTGCATGTGTGGTTGGTTGGAAAAAGAAGTGAAAGTGATGACACTTCATCAACAGTGTCAGTCAGATTTCAACTGGAAACACCGACGGCAGAGTGCTTTCAAAAAGATGCTGGGTGCTGTACTTTATATGTAGGCGATTGTCAGTGGCCGCATACGCTCTCTTTGTAAACAATAGAAAAAAATGTGGGAAAAAAACATTATATGGTTGCTCAGGCTAAGCGTGCTACTTTTAGAAGTGTTATCCTTCCTGAATTTGTAGTCCTCATTAATATTTTGTCCATCGCAGGTAGCAGACCAGGCCGGGCTGCAGAACCAAGGCCAGATTGGACAGCTGGAAGGCCACTACCTGCTGTGCTCTGTAAAGCCTGGTGCTGGATTTGTAGGTGGTAACTGGAAAAAAGGTCTTCATCCTGGGGATGTCCTAGCAGCCCACCCACATGTCCTGTGGTACTCCCGGGATAAAGTGCTCAGCCGCTCAAAGAGATCAGTGGCCTTCAATGACCCCAACTACCCTAAACAGTGGCACCTGGTAAGATTATAGACGACTGTTGGTCTGAAATAGCATCTCTCTCTCTCTCTCACTAGCTGTCCAGAAATAAGAAGTGTTAAATGTCAAATTTTTCTAGACAGACTAATCATTTTGTGTTATTTTTGTAAGCGTCAGCCAAGACTTGTTGAGTCAAGGCATTAAAATGCGCCATTCAGGTGTTTAGTGAACATATCCCAGGGCTGATGCTCGCAGACTAAGCAATGAAACATAAAAAAAGGTGATATTTGGCATTTAGTTTAACAACTCAGTCAGAATCTAACTTTTGTGTAGCCAGGATTGTTCAAATCAAATGTGTTTCCACTCACGTCTTTTAAATTTTGCTTACACAATGCGTTCTGTGTGCTTCAACAGCTGGGTGCAGTGCAACATTACTCATCGTATACCTTTTAAACTAAATGCCAAACGCATTGGAGCAATGTCAGAACAACCTACCAAACAGAGTGAAGTAATTTAGTTGTCTGAAGCAAAGATTAGACACAGCTGGGAACGCCTGAATATATGACTCAAAGGCAGATGGTGCGTCTTTTAAGTTGGAATTTAGATTTGTGGATATATGCGAAGTCTGACAACCACGACGTCCGTGTTGGTGTTTTACAGTTTTGCTCAAATAGTTAATAAAGCTGCATTTAGTTAGATTTGGTTTCAGTTGCCGGTGACAGGAATAGAACTGCTGTGCTGTTTAAATGATTAGAGGAGGATATCTCATTTCCTGGATGCAATGATTCGCAAGCTTAACGGTTAACGTGTCTCCTGGTTGCACGCCATGAGTTCCGTACGCACAAAACCATCTGACAACCAAAGTGCAAGCTAATGAAAATGCTGTACAATAATTACACAAATGTTTGTGCCATTTCAAAAACAAAGACCTTCACTTCTGGCTGCCCCACTTGACCACTGCTTTAGAAATGCTCACCTGATACTGGCAGGTAGTCAGAATCTGCTGATTAACACACTGAAATGGAGCATCTGCATCGGCCCCAAATGAACACTGACCGGCAGATATCGGCAGCGGGGATAAAAGTTTACACTTTTGTTTAAAATGTCACATAAACAGTGCTTGTTTTATATGTAAGTTTTCCGCCTCCCCGTACATTTACGCTCCTTCGTCTTACTGTTCTTTCAGCACAATGACATCAGTCGCGGTATGGATATCAACGTGACAGGTGTGTGGGAGCGCAACATCACCGGCCGAGGAGTCACGGTTGTGGTCGTGGATGACGGCGTGGAGCACACCCACCAGGACATTCAGCCCAACTACGTAAGTCAGAACTGAGGCAGCGATTCTAGTCGGTGCCTAAAAATCTAATTCGTCTGTGGGCTGGTTGTTATTCAGGAACATATAAAAGAGGAGGACAAATAGTATGGATGATGCAATCAGTTCTTTTTGGGTCAAATCAGTCAGGAGAGGTTTCGTCAAGGCGTAGAACCGGAATGTCAGACAAAAAGCATCGGTCCTGGAAAGACCGTCGTGTCTGTCTGTACTCTGAGCAGAGTGGTGCAATTTGCAGTGCAGAGGAAAGTTTAAAAGTAAGAAGAATGTCACAAACAGCAGAAGGTTTCTTGCGAAAGTGTACAATTAATAGTTGCAGCAGACAAGAATGGAGTCAATGCGTTGAGAAACTCTAGGAGCAGGCTTCCTTCACTGCTGCTCCCAGTCTAACCAGCATCATAGCAGTTCCAGTTAAACCTGTTTTCTTCCAACACAAAATTAAGTTAAGTGAGTGTAAAGCACAAACTTTTTATTTATTTTTTAAAATTTCGTGTCCCTGTCAGAGTCCGGAGGGCAGTTATGACCTGAACTCCAACGACCCGGACCCCATGCCTCACCCGGACGTCCACAGCGACAACCACCACGGCACTCGATGCGCTGGAGAGATCGCAGCTGTTCCCAACAACAGCTTCTGTGCCGTGGGCGTAGCCTATGGCAGCAAGGTGGCAGGTACAGACAAGAACATTGAATTGACTGTTATTAAAAACTTGAAGGGCCCAGACTGAAGGGCGACAGTGAATATTTGAGGAAAGAAGTGTGGTGAAACATGTGTCTCTTGTTGCTTTCTGTTCAGGTATCAGAGTTCTGGACGGCCCACTGACAGACAGCCTGGAGGCCATAGCCTTCAACAAACACTACCAAGTCAATGATATCTACAGCTGCAGGTAACAAACATATCTCAGATTTTTGTTTTTTGTTGTTTCCACTTGGAGAGAGACTTTTAAAACAATAAATTGTCACTAAAATGTCTAGTTTAGCATATTACTGCTATAATATCATATTAGATGCTGATTTAGACTGTTCTCTTTTGTAGTTGGGGTCCAGATGATGACGGACACACTGTGGACGGACCTCATCCCCTCGGCAAGGTATGAGACCGTTTGGTTGCTGCGCTCTTTTTGTCCTCCAGAGGGCAGTGAAATGCAGCAGTTACATGAAAGTAAACGTGCACACAGAGGAACCGTCTACTGTGGCTTCACCTGGTTGATTTTTCTTGATTACTTTTCTCATGGCTGACTGATTTCTTCATTTTTTGCTCCACAGGCAGCGCTGCAGCACGGGGTGATCGCAGGCCGACGAGGCTTTGGGAGCATCTTCGTGGTCGCCAGTGGCAACGGAGGTCAATACAACGACAACTGCAACTACGACGGCTACGCCAACTCCATCTACACCATCACAATCGGTAAGACCCTCGTGTGTGAGAGTGTCTGTCTCTGCAGGTTCGCTTGTGTTTTGGGGGTGGACATGTGCACATAAATAAGGATTGTGCTTGTGTCCGATGCAGGAGCGGTTGATGAGAACGGCAGGATGCCCTTCTACGCTGAGGAGTGTGCGTCCATGCTGGCTGTCACCTTCAGCAGCGGGGGGACCAAGCTGAGGAGCATTGTAGGTCTTCACGAAACAAGCGCACACAAACACAAAAAAACGAGTCGGTTAACAAATGCTTGGATAGTGACAGGTGGAAAAACAGTTGAACAGATGATATCATCGAATAAAATCTTGTGGAGTTGGTCCAGTCACAGTGAGTGCTTTCACACCTAACCTGTTTGGTACAGTTCAAACAAACTGGTGTGTTTTCTGCTCCATGAAGACATGAATCATACAATGTATGAAATGAACGGCTGGACTGAGATTGCCTGAGAGGGAGGGTTTTGGTATGCTTTCAGGCAGACTGATGCAGTTTATGACCTTAAAGTAAACAGACAAACCTCAGCACTCTGATGGTAGATACTGTTTGATGTTTTAAAGAGAATTTAAAACCTAAACTAGCATTGCTATTGAATGTAACTACAGATTATGAACTGACAAGAAAGCCGTCCACTGAGCAAATGAAAGGGGTGGAGTATGCACTTATGCAAGATCTGGTAATCACACTAACACGTACATGTGGCTGTAAGGTTTATCAGAATACATCAGGCTGTTTTTTTACTGTATATTTTCTTCTTTAAAATTGAGAGAAAGTTGTGAAAACAAACATGACACCTACCATCGCAGCCGGCAGGTACCGCAGCTCAAAAGATGACATTAAAAAACAATTTATGCCGTGTGTGCAACTTGAAGAGTGAAGACTTTAGTGGTGGTTGGGACAGTTGTTTGAAAGCTTTCAGAGGAGCAGCTCCTCATCAGGTGGAGCAGTGACTGTTTTCCATCCAAAAACGATGACTGATGGCAACAGGAGTGAGGCCACTGACCTGTATTTGCTGCTGTTTGTGGGCGTCGCCATGGCAACGCAGTTTGGACCAGGGATGTCATCGCCTCGGGGAGAGGAGTTTAACCAGGATTGGGCTCTCTCTGGAGAAGACTGCTGCACCACCGACCACAGTGCGCTCACAGGCCAAGTGCTGACCACACGCTGCCCGTTTCTGTGGAAGCCATTTGAGTCAGAACAGCTGCCCTCACTAGTGCATCGCATGGCAACGTTGTGAGTCTGTAACATCTGGAAAAGTGAAGGGAAAATCAGGAATTCAGTTATGAGTTTTGGATGGTTGATGTCTGCTTGGACATCTTGTCTTCTGATGGATTAAAGGTATTCTAGGGGCTACAGCACACATCAAAGGTTCCCGATATCTAAGTTCTAAAACATAGCAGTGGCTAACTAAACGTGACTTGGGACTGTGGATGTTAGAGACAGCTTCAAAGAGATTCCGTGTTTGATGTAAACACATAGCGTTGCTAATGAACCTGTGGAGCATGCAAACACTCAGGTATGCGCTGCAGAAGAGTCTAGTGATGCTTGTATGTTGTCACCACTCTGACAGCTGCTGTGGATGAGCATGACTAGCCCTCCTGGGAAGTACAAGCACAACATGATATTAACCATTCACATGGCTGAGACAGCTGTTGGAAAAAGGCCCACATGTGCATTGCATGTAAACACAGAGGCCTGGCAGTTCCTCAGCCCACATCGCTGAGGTCCTTCTGTCAGACAGGCTGCCACTAATGTATGTACCAGCCGCTACACAGAAAACACGTGACATTAACATGACTTGATTTGCAATCCGCTGCATCTTATGTGCATGGTGATGAGCGACAAAGCAGTAAAACAACATTATTTATTTTGGTCTTAAATCTGTCAAGTTTTAACTCCTCTGTCTCCGTGCTCTGTGTATACATTCTGAAGCGATCCACTCTTTCATTTTTATTGGCACAACTGCTCTTTACTTACTTTCATCTTCTTAAAGCTCAACCTTCCCAGGGCCTTAACCCCTGTCACACACGCCTAATATCCTCCATTAACTGTCCACAAACAGTGCTGAACTCTGGCCACTCGCAGTAAATATGTCACATTGTCAAGATGGCGCCATGATGCCGGAGTCTTGAGTAAAGTGCTGCTTCATGCATCAGGCCTCCACTTGGATCGCTTGCTTTGGACCCATGTAGGGTTTGTGTATGTGACCATGTGTTACTCTAAAGTCCCAAATCATTCCTACACATCCTAAATTTAAACATTTCAATACATTTCTCATGAATATAAATCACGTAAGCATGTGACTGAAGACTGTGTTTTAGACTTTAGTGACACATTTCATGTTTTTCCATGTTTTTGTTGCCATATCCAAAATTCTTCAAACGTTTTCTCAGTGATCAGTTGCATTTGTTTACCACCACACTGATCCAGCAGTTTGGACAGTTGCTAATAAGCTTTTCACATGTCTCCAGTTAGGTTTTGGACTCTTTGCAATGATCTCCAGGTTTTTAAAGTTGGAAGGCTTCCTTTCACTCTTGTCTTCAGTTTCAGGTCACGGTCTTGTTGGAAGGTCCAGTGCTGCCTAATAGCTAGTTTTTCTGCAGACTGACTGATGTTTTCCCCCAGATTCTGAACGTAGTCCTCGTTTCTCATGATCCTGTTTGCTTTTCCAAGGTTGTCAGGCTCGTTGGCTGAATAACACCCTCAAAGTATTACATTCCCACCACCGTGTTTGAACATGGGGACGGTCTTTTAGTGGTTCTTTGCTGTTCTCCTTTCTTTTGCCAAACAAAAGCCACATCCCAAACAACTCAGTTTTCCTCTCATCCGACCACAGAACCGATCCCAAGTGCTTTTTACTTTGTCCAGTTGGTGCGCCTGTCTTGACGAAGAGTCCTGCAGAGTCTTGAGTCCTCTTTGGTTGCTGGAGGCCAGCTGTGTTCAGGGTCCGCTGCAGTCCTCTGACATGTCACTATCGCGTTTGCTTGGTTTCATTAGGATGGCTTTGGTGGTGATCCTTGGATTGTTCTTGGCCTCTCACACCTTTATTCTTCACAGTGTAAGGGGTCCTTTTTGGCTTCCTACCACGCCCTGTGAGGTTTTTTTACAGTGTGGACCTAATCGTACTTTTTAAAGATGCGTTGCCCCGAGGCCTCTCGGGAAACACTTGGATATGACTTGATAGCCTTTCCACTTCTTGTGAGTAGCATTTCTCTCTCAGCGACAGACCCTAACAGCAGCTCACTAAGACAGGGGTGTCGGACTCCGGTCCTCAAGGGCCGCAATCCTGCATGTTTTAGATGTTTCTCTCTTCCAACACACCTGATTCAAATGATCAGCTCATCATCAAGCTCTGCAGAAGCCTGATAACGACCCTGATCATTTGAATCAGGTGTGTTGGAAGAGGGAAACATCTAAAACTTGCAGGATTGCGGCCCTCGAGTACCGGAGTTCGACACCCCTGCACTAAGACCTTCTTTATAGCCATGACATGCAGTTGTCTGGTATCTGGCTAGAAGAGTACTGCATCAGCTGTTGTCAGTTTCTAGTTTAATAAAAGGCTGTAGGATGTGGTATCAATTACCGGGATCACTTCAAATGGAATTAAACCTGCTTTTTTTTTATTGCAACAATTTTATGGTTTATGGATCATTTTGGGCAGCATTTTGTAGTTAAAATGTGAAAACAAAACAAAATGTATAAATGGTTGAAATGTCACGATGTCTTGGTGTCATTTTTTAATCTCATGTTTGTGCCTTTTCCAGCCCAAAGAAGCCTGTTGGTCAAATAAAAATCCTCTAATCACCAAATCTAGTCTTAACTGCATGTCCAGTGTTTGAGTCCCTATCAATGCAGTTTATATTTGGACTCCAGCCAGTGCTGTTCCCACTTCGCTGCTGTTTTTTTTTAATTTTTTTTATTGTGCATAATTGTCTGAGCCATATTTCCAACACTCATTCCTTCTCTGTGGCCCTGCAGGTGACATCCGACTGGTCCATGCGGCAGGGGACCGGCTGCACAGAGGGCCACACCGGCACGTCTGCTGCAGCCCCCCTGGCGGCGGGAATGGTGGCCCTGATGCTGCAGGTTCGGCCCTGCCTCAGCTGGAGGGACGTCCAGCACATCATCACCTTCACAGCCACCAAGGTAAACCTGATGGTTGTGTCACTGATTGCTGTATACAGTCCTGTGTAGGTGCTTAATTTGACTGGACACTGAACTGTTCAGGAAAACCCCACCTTCACTCTAAGTCCTATTAAAATCCCCAAATTTATCAAAATGAACACTTCAGACATACAGACTGGGAATGTTGTCATCTTGTGTGACGTATTAAGGCTTAAGACCTACAAGAAGGCAGCCATACATTCAATCAGTAGCTCAGCTTTTCTCACTGTTTAATTCACGTTTAATGTAGAAAAAAATAGACAAGTTGTCTAACCAGCTGTATATTTATTTAAAGTAATATTAAACTGCCCGAAAATGAATTTAAGCTTTGTGGCTGATGGACTCTGTTAGCCGACTCAATAACAGACATGCTGGTCTCATTTTTGAAAAGAATTACTATTGTTAGAGCCAGTTAGGTCAGATGGCAGCAGTTCACAAGTGGATGCAAAGTTACATGCGGCATATTACTGTATGAAACATGGAAATAACAACGGGGAACCATGAAGACACCAAGGTAGTCAAATGCAGAAATCTGCAGCTTAGCTCACAGGTATGACGTTTCAAATCTTGGACTTATCGGACAAAAGCCTATTCTTCTGATAACTGAAACTCTAGTATTTCCTTGTAGACATGTTTACCTGTATTATATTGCGCATTGAGGTTGGAACAAGGGGGAAGTGAGCAGAGTGATGACATGCACTAAAGAGGGCCAAGACTTGACCGAATTCAACTGTTGAGGGCGTTTTAGGCCATTTGTTAAGGACCTAACCACTTAGCTTCCCCCAAATATGGTCCTCATGGATAAATATGTTGACAATAGTTGTGATTTATTGATGAACCCTCGAATAACTGGGAGAATATACTAGAACACAGTCAAAAGTAGTTTAAGTCCAAAGTTACCTCCTTACAATGTTCAATTTGCAATAAGATAAAATAGAGAAAAGAAGCACGTCATCGTACGTGAGGCTAAAAACTTTGAATGTTTAAACTCCTGGGATTTTAATTAATTATGACAGTTGTCTCTTTTCTGTGTCAGTCTTTACTTAATGATGCTGTAAATTGTCCCATCAGCAGTAGTAGGTGGGAGAGTAACAGCAAAATAAACGGAGGAGAAGCTTTAACTAAACACAGCTGTGTTGTTTTTGGGAGTCTAATGAAAAAAAAAGATTGCTCTCTTTTATAGCTACAGCCTGCATAGCGAAAACCTGAAAACTGAAGGTGACAAAATGTGCACCTCCGCAGCTAAACGTGCCTGTGTTTGTTTTAACAGTGTGATAACAGCTCAGACTGGAGGGTGAACGGGGCAGGTTTCCATCACAGCCACCAGCACGGCTTCGGTCTGCTCAACGCATGGAGGCTGGTCAACGCTGCCAAGGTACACGTGACGAGCTCCACCCATAATTAATCTGTTAATCATTAGGTCGAGGAAGCATCAGTGTCAGAATTTCCACTACAGGCTAGATTAAAGCTGTCTGTGGTGTCTCTCTCAGGTGTGGGAGTCGGTGCCGTTCCTCGTGTCCTATCAGAGCCTCGTAATAAAGGAGGAGGAAATCATCCGGACCTATCCGGACGAGCTGGTCCGTACCTGGAAAGGTAACTCCATCTGCCTGTCTGCTCCTCTCTCACTCTCTCAGCTGTGTATTGGACAGTTGCTTGTCGAGTTTACACACTGCAGTATGCAGCGTCCTCCCTCCCTGCCTCCCTCCCTCCCTGCCTGCCTCCCTCTCAGTCAGCCTGCCTGTCCATATTAGGTAATGTTCTCTTGTTTGTGAGTTCCCTCAGTGAGATTTTTCCAGATTTGTTGCTCTGTTTTTTTTTTCTTTTTCTTCATTTTTTTCCCCCAATCTGTCTCTGCCTTCCCCAACTCTCCTCAGTAGTTCTTGGACCTTCTTCACTTCTCGCTGCTTTGGATCTCTCATATTTGACTGCCTGTGTGTGTGTCGTCTGTCCCTCACACACGTTTTTTCATACGTGCTCGTGGTGATCTCATTATAACAGAAACATTTCCTCCTTCCTCGTCTCTCTTCCTCTCCTCCCTCGATCTGTATCTTCCTTCTTTTATGGCCTTGTTGCGGTCAGGAGCACAGCCAGAGACGTGTGTGGGTCTGTGTGTGGGTCTGTGTGTGAGTCTGTGTGTGAGTCTGTGTGTGGGTCTGTGTGTGAGTCTGTGTGTGTGTGTGTGTGCGTAGGTAGTCTCATGCAACAGGAGTTTCTCAAAGACTGAGCAGAGAGTTGCTGACAGCTGCAGCACAGAGCAGACTCACAAAGCGTTTCTGGACTTATTTTCAAAAAGAAGTTAAATTACATCAGACCGTTGTAGTTCACATTCCCCAGCTTTAAATCTCTCCTCAGTCAAATCCCTAACAGGCTTTTTGTCACTGACAATGTTCAGATCTGCCTGTCACACTACTCAGTGTTTGTTGTTGCAGTTTCTATGTGTTTTGGCTGCCTCACCGGCTAATACACGGCCCCTAAAGCATTCAGGTTTTCTGCTTCCCATGTGAACGTGATCTCGGCTAACGTGTGTTTATGTGCACGCATGCTGCGACTGTGTTTGACCTTTTAATGACGAGTCACTTAGGTTGCATCAGCCCAATTCAGGACACATGTGTACAGTTAGATGAAGAGATGAAGCAGTCACACAAGTGTGTTTGAGTTTTGAGTGAAATACGTGTGTTTAGAGTTCAGGCAGCTGATTCTCACGCCAGCAGAGAACCTACGGTGGGCTGTGGTGTGAAGGAAAGAGAAAGATTGTGAAGAAGAGAGTTTCTTATAAATGCAGCTGCGTGAATTTGAAAAATGAGAGGACAAAATCAAGACGTGCTCAGGGTTGATAATCACAATTGAACTGAATCTTTATTTGCCAACTCTGTTTACACAAACATGAGTTTTGAGTCCAGGTCTTGTGTTTCTGAGTGTACGCAATGTTCAGCAGGACGTACACATGCACACAATGAGGACAATAATTACAAACACATTTATTTGCAATTTGTAGAACAAAATGACTGCTGGAAATGCAAATGTTTTGCAGATGTACCTCTGAAATTCCAACGTCCTTCCCTCTTATGTCAGCATCTATTTCATTATTCTGTGGCCCGACCATAATAAATTGAGTAAATTGCAATGTTCAGTGTTCCTCTGTTCATGGAAATTGTTTTTATTTGCCCAGCCCCGTCTAATGTCATGGAGGAGTTTCCCCTCCTTAAAAAAGGCAATAAGGCTGCTTAAGTAACTCCAATGTGGTGAGAGTATGTCAGGCACTTGTTAGGCGCTCTGTGGCAGCTGGGAGACCCTCCACCACCACCACGCTGCTCTGTCTTGGATCAGACTGTAACCGAGAGCTTTCACTGAGTAGCATCAAGTTGATGTATGTTGTGTACACAACGCTGTCAGCTCAGATAAAACGGTGGATACAGCTCTCTTGACGCTCCCATATTGTGTGTTAACAGCTTTGTTGGCACATATTGCAGCAGTTTGGCTTCAGTCACCTAAAATCTAATGGCAGATGTAGAGGAGCAGAGGGTTTTTTTTTTTTAGTCTCACAATACGCGGTGTCAGAAAAGTTCCAGGACTGGCGTCACAGAAGATATATTTCAAATCCGAACTACCAGTTTTCCCCTTCGTAGTTATCTCCCTGGAGTCTAACACACTCTCCCAGCCTTCTCTGCCTTCACGCTGCCATGCATTCCTGGAAGGATTCTCCTCCTCAGCTCCGTCATCACAGCCATCTTGATGTCGTCCACATCTTCAAAACAGGTCTCCTTGATGACCCCCTAGAGCTTGGGGAAGAGGAAACAATCCCACAGAGCCAGGTGGGGTGAGTAGGGAGGTTGCTCCAGCACGGCCATGTTCTTCTCAGCCAGGAACTGTGGGATGCTCAGGACGCTGTGAGCAGGTTGTCATGGTGAAGCAGCCTCCACTGGTCCTGCCACAACTCGGCCTCTTCGGATCTCTTTGTAGACGTGCTGGTTGATCGTCTGAAGGGGAAAACTCCCAGTCTGGGTTTGAAATACATCTTTTGTGACACCAGTCTTGAAACTTTAATGACACACCTCGTATGTCTTCATGCTTCAGATAAATCTCTGTGAGCATAGACGAGTCTGTTTGTTGCCTTGAACATTAGCTTGGATTATAAATGATGCAGCCCCATCTGTAGAGGAGACAGTTTATCTAGTGGATGTTGTCTTTCTGTATAAACTAGAAATGCAGGCAGTGGTGTAAAGCTGTGTTACAACCGTGCATTTATGGGAAATCATATGAATACAGAACATTAAATTAGAAGCTGAATGAAACTCCCAACTCTGAGGTTAGTTTCCAGCAAATGAAGCCCCCCCACTGTAAAGTAACTGCCAGCCACACACCACCACAGCGGTGAAGCTCAGTGCCTGCAGTCCCTCCTTCCTTTGCCTCCATTTTCCTCCTTTCCCTCCCCATGCCTCTCCTCCACTTGTCTAGTCTCCTCGCCACCTATCCCCTCCCTCCCTCTCTCTCTCTCCTGACTGTCCCTTCTTCCACATCTCTGTTTACACTCCTTCTTCCCTGGTTGTTTTGGGTCCTTCCCTGCCCCGAGGATGTGTGCAGCCCTACATGGTCAGGGAGCGCCACGGCTCATTAGTAGTCAGAGTCCAGGAAATACTGAGAAATTAGCAGACACTTGCACTGGGAGCACGAGAAGTGGTCAAGAAGACTCGCTGGTAACAGTTTCACGATGGAAGACTGCATTTACACACTGGACTGGTTTTGTCTTTGCAGACTTAAGTTTTTTTTTTCCTTTTTACACCTCCTGGCTAATATCTTTCATTCTCTGTCACATTATCCACAATGAAAAACTAAACAGTGGTATGAATCTGGAGCTCATTAACAGCCCGGGTCAGAGAGAAGGCAGCTAAATAAACTGCACTTTAGCTGCAGGCTTTAAAGTGAGTGACTGTGAAACCTGTGTGTTTAATCATGGGTCGAGCAGCAAGACTTATATTAGTCAGATTAATATCCCTGTAATAAACTAAGCTCCTACATCACCATATAAAACGTTTATGGTGTGTATATTTTCTATGTATGGTCTTACCGCCAGCCATCAAAATACAGAATACATTGATTGTAAAGTTGCTAAATGTTTTTAGAACTGGTATCTGCAGGTCTTAAAAAGTGAAATAATAATTCTGGGATAAATTGTTCTTGTAGGTTTTTCATCACACCCTTTATTTTAAGGAGTTTAGCCATAAATTTCATTCTAGGCCATTTTCTGAAATCCTCATAGTTGAAATTTGGGAACCCGGAAAAACCCATTTAAAAAGTTCTCAAAGTGACAACACACTTACAATATTATAATAAAGGTTCAGAGTTTCCATTATGACCCTGATCAAACATGCACGTGGTTGTTCACACACAAAGACTGACTGAGCTGCCGTCTCTTCTCCTTCAGTTTCTGCAGAGGACCTAAGAGAGTCGGGAATGCAGACGCTGGAGCATGTGGCCGTTACCATGACGATAACCCACCCTTGCCGTGGCAATGTGGAGATTGTGCTGGTTTGCCCCAGCGGTATGGCGTCGGTCATCGGGGCTCGCCGTGCCATCGACAGGTGCGTTGTTTAAGAGCAGTAAAACGTAAAGTAGTGTTGAAACTTTGTGATCTTACCAAAAAATATAAATTAAAAACGAAAAAACTCTTTCACTGCTACAGAGACGCTGCAGGCTATCAGGACTGGACTTTCTCCACTGTGCGCTGCTGGGGAGAGAGAGCTGAAGGCCTGTACACCCTGAAGATATCGGACCACAGTAAGACGCTGCTGCTGCACACTCGTGATCAGTCCAGCTGGTGTTGGTGTCTGTCCAGGAGCTGGAGACACAAACACACACTTTTCTTTCATGGTAGTCGTGAGTTCATATTTCTGACCATGTGTTCCGTAGAAGAGGGGTCCTCTGAGCAGTGTGCTGCCTTGGGGGCGCTGAAGCAGTGGAAGCTGACCCTGTATGGCTCATCGATGACCGACACTGAAGTCAAGGACAGACAGAGGTAGGAGCTCATGCAGTCACTGTTTTTTTTTTTTAATGATACCCAGAATTTTTTAGCAGTTTTCAAGGTACAGCTTTGATTCTGGAAAAGATTGCTGATATTTAGTGAATCAGATTAGAATCACATACTCCACCTTTGTTTCAAACTTGACTCAAGTACAGTGTTTAAGACTGGTTCTGGGCTTTGTCTGACCCGTGACTGGCTTTGTATTGATTGACAGGCTGGTGGAGGAGGCCATGAGTGGCAAGTATCTGGACAGCAGCTTCTCCCTGCCCTGCCCTCCAGGCCTGGACATCCCTCCGGAGATCATCAGCCCCTTCACCTCCAACAACCTGAAGGTGAGCACAGCAGCACACATCCAGACACACGCTGCACAAGTACCGTCGACGGTCTCAGTGCTGCAACACTACAGTCTATTACTATACTATTCTATTAGTGTATGTTTGTGTATGCAGCCTTTTTACACAAGATTAGATCATAGAGTGTTGTTTTTCTAAAATTAATCTACTAGATTACAGGAAATGACTGCGTTGTATCAAACAGGGCTTTTCTTTTCTTTTCTTTTGTTCTCTCGTCTACGAAGAGGTTAAGACTGTTTGTTTTCTCTCTGGCGATGCAAAAGAATTTCAGTAACTGTGACACACGTTTAAATATTTACGGTTGTTTACCATCAATGTGTATTCCAGTTAGGGAAGTGACAGGCTGTGAGGAGTTCTCTATACAGTGAAATTAGATTAAATACTTGTTTATGCACCACAAGGCTATTTAGCTAACAAACCTCAGACATTTCTAAACTGCAACGTAACAACGGGATAGATGGAAATGTGAGAAGGATGTATTAAATCTCTGGCCACTAACACTCCCTTGAACTCTCCTTCAACTCGGAAAAGGACGGAATAATAACGTTACCATGATTTACGATATTTAACATGTTCTGTCTCTCTACCGTTCTCCTTCTCCCCTCCAGTTCCTGCTGCTGCTGGGCTGCTTTGCTCTCTTCTGGTCCCTCTACTACACCCTGGAGGTCACGCTGGCCCACCTGGACCTCAGGACCCTTCTCTGCCTGCCCAGGAGACGTGGGGGTCACCGGGGCAGGAAGGGGGGCCGAGGGAGAGGAGTAGAGGAGGCGATGGTGGAGGAGGAAGAGGACACGGAGGAAGAGGAGCTGGACTCAGGGGTGGAGTTGCAGGCAGTGCTGGACTTAGAGGCCAAAGTGCCGCTTGTCATCGGAGAGCAGCTGGCAACATAGCACTGAGCCAATCACTGTCTGCGCTCGTGGGACGTCTCAGGCTTTCCCCCTCTCGTGTTCGCTCACCCAGCCGGCCTCCCGTACTGCTTCTGATCCCCCTCAGCCTCCAGCAGTGGTGGTGGAGGGCCACAGAGTGGGCTGCTGACGAACTCGAATGAAGAGCGGACTCTTTGTCCGCCTCTGCATTACCCAGACAAGTGGCCTTGAATGTGTTTGTGCTGTGACAGTGCGTGTGTGTGTGTGTGTGTGTGTGTCGTTTTACGCCTGTTCCTTAACAAAGGAAATTAGAAATAAGGAAAACTGTCCAAATCAGGACAATAGGACTAGAGTCAGGCAGGAACTAAAAGGGTTAAATGTCCCAGTGTGTGCACATGTGTACAGACACATCTTGTATGAACAGCGTGCACCCAAAGACAAACTGAGCCCACAGATCGAAAAGATGCACCGTAGGGACACCTGTGGAGTCGACAAATACAATGTGCACTATAGAAAGCTATCAAACTGCTGCGTGGGAGATCTTGTGTGTGTGTGTGTGTGTGTGCGCGCCCTGTGTGATGACTTGAGTGGTTATGCTTGTAATATGCAAGGTCTTCCAGGAAAACGTGTCCTACAGTGTGAGGAGTCAAGAGGGTACGTATGTATTTTAATAGAATGGTTTATTTTCTGAGGCGTTGCTTTATACATTTCATTTTTATTAAATCTGGGGTTATTTTCTGTGGGTTATCAAGCAACTACTGACAAAAACTTGAAGTGGGATTTCCAAGTATGGGATTTGCAAATGTTTGTTTTTTTTGTTTTTTATAAAGTATAATATATACACAATGTGTGCCTGCTGTACAGATATATACCAACTGTGTTTAATGATTTATACAAAGTGTTTTTAAGAATGTATTAAAGAGATCTAATTTTTTAATGTAAACGAGGGTTTGGAGTGAAGTTAGAAACTTGTGTTTTGCTGTGCAAGTCACAGGTGGCATCGGTGACAATAAAAGACTGTTGATGAAATAGCCTCCTTGATTGTGT